ACTTCTGGTCTGTGCCATGTTGGTAGATGCAGACTACTTGGTTGTGGTCCGTGTGACTATCGTAACAAGTGGTTGGATACTCTTGGTGATATGGCTCAGAATCGATCACAATGGCGTAGGTGTATACACTTTTTGTCCTCCCTTAAACCATGAGATCAAATTTACTTTATACCTTTCCTTCTACGAACTAATTCTTTCTCTCTGTATCATGTCCTTATATGCAGTTCTTTTTTCTATATATTAATACCATTGAAATAGCTACTTTTATGATTGTGGTTTTCATCCTGTTGTGCCAATGAGGTGTGGCAAGATGGGCCGATGCATATACGTGCCTGGTCCTACATTGCAGCAGATTGACTATTGTATTACTGATTTGATGAAGGTTCATATCTAATTGTTACAGTTACTTTGAATCGCTTCTTTATTATCGTTAGTTTTGTGTTTAAAAAATTAAATTTTATAAACGCTATTAATTGTATCATATTGTTCATTTTTGTATTTCGGCATCTAAACTGTAATGTGTTTCTTAATGTGTGTCTTGTTATAACCTAATTTTGTATAAAAAACATATTCGTCCAAATGAACTGAGCTTATGGTAGGTAGTTGTTTATAAAAAAAATTTATGTGGATCATACTGTCTAACTTGTTACATCTGAATATCAATCATAAACACTTAATTCTTCATAACAGTAATGAGGTAATATTATTCATTTCTCGTTCATTGACTAGGTCTAAATATTTTGAAATACATTTGGAAATCGAAAACAGTTTACTTTCTGAGAATGTACTAAATAAACGATGACTTTTTTTTACTGAATAACCGGATTCAATTTGTATTCTACTCACCACGTCGTCTAGTCCATAATAATCAGTCAGTTAATGTATCTACAGAATATTGGTTCATAAGTAATGGATTAATAGGTATTGTATTGCTTTCTCATTTCATGCAAAGTGTATGCTCTTCAGTGGAAGTGACATTAGAACACGTTCCGATCAAGCTTTATGTACCCATAATGGAATAGAGCTTTAAACTTCAGTTTTAAGTACTGGTTTGTGGTATATTGTAAACCAGTATTTTTCCCAACTCCCGTCATTTATACTTAGAAAACAATATGCTTATAAAAATATTTTTTCAATTTAAATCGTACGGCAGTAACGATGTTGCTTGATTTCATGCTTTCAGATAAAAAATAACACACACAAAGATACATAAATACTCTTGTTTTTCATTCGTGATTAAAAAGCCATTTTTTAATGGATCAATACGCAATACCCTTGAAAAGTTCACTCTTGTAGATATTGTTTTGCTTGTTCTCAATGTTAAACTATCGATCTGGAAATTAATAACTGATTTTAAGAGATGCACATCCTTGTTCGTTGTTTTTTCGTAAACTTTGAGTCCTCTTCGTTCCAGTATGAAATATACCCGTTCATTTCCATATCTGTAAAACTTAGACTATATAAGTCAGCATATTTTAGTTAATAAGTGAACTGTTAGCGATGTTTAAAAGTCAATGTCACACTTCAATTATTAGTGCTGAGTTAATGTTTCTCAAGTTAATTTTAGAATAAATGATTTGACATTACGATGCACTCACTGTATGCAGTATTAAATGATAGTAAATAGAGTTTGATTTGGGATTAATAATAATTCAGTGATAAGTTTTATTCATACAGTTTTCAATACCTAGGGAGTTATTATTGAATTATTCCTTACTTACTTCCGCCTGTTACTCCTAGTGGGGCATAGGCCGCCGGCCAGCATTCTCCAACCCACTCTGTCCTGGGCCTTCTTTTCTAGTTCCATCCAATTCTTGTTCATTTTTCTCATGTCTATTTCCATCTCCCGGCGTAATACGTTCTTCGGTCTTCCTCTTTTCCTTTGGCCTTGAGGATTCCATGTGAGAGCTTGTCTTGTGACTCAGTTGGGTGCTTTCCTCAATGTGTGTCCTATCCACTTCCAGTGCTTCTTCCTGATTTCTTCCTCCACTGGGATCTGGTTTGTTCTCTCCCACAGTGGGTCGTTGCTGATAGTGTCCGGCCAACGGATCCGAAGTATTTTGCGTAGACAACTGTTAATAAAGACTTGTATCTTCTGGATGATGGCTTTCGTAGTTCTCTAGGTTTCTGCCCCATACAGTAGAACTGTCTTGACATTTGTATTGAAAATCCTGACTATAGTGTTGACTTGTGGGCAGCTGTTTTTAGTTCAAAATGTTCTCCAGTTGTAACTATGCTGCTCTTGCTTCACCGATACGCGCCTCCACATCTACATCAGATCCACCGTACACACCAATGATGCTGCCCAGATATGTAAAGGTTTTTACATCTTCCAATTCTTCTCCGTCAATTGTGATTGGGTTGGTGTATTCTGTGTTGTATCGGAGAATCTTACTTTTCCCTTTGTGTATATTGAGACCTACTGCTGCTGAGGCTGCTGCTGCACTGGTCGTCTTCTCCTGCATTTGCTGTTGCGTTTGAGAGTTGGATTTGTCAACTGTCCTCCATGCACAATTTTGCAGTTTAATCCATCATAGGAATCCTGTGTGATATTGACTATCTTCTGAGGCACATCGTAGTTTCGAAGAAGCTTCCATAGTGATGTTCTGTCCACGCTATCAAATGCTCTTTCGTAGTCAATGAAGTTGATGTGGAGTGATTAATTCCGTTCAATTGATTATTCCACAATGATCCGTGGAGTTGCGATTTGGTCTGTACACGACCGATCGTTACGGAATCTAGCCTGTTAGCTTCAAATTTGGGCGTCTACGGACTCCTTCATTTTGTTTAACAATACTCTGTTGAAGACTTTTCCTGGTATTGAGAGAAGTGTGATACCCCTGTAGTTATCACACTTGCTGAGATCACCTTTCTTTAGTATCGTGATGAGGTGTCCTTCTTTCCAGTCTGTTGGTACTTGTTCCTCATCTCAAATCTTATTGAGGAGAATGTGGAGTATCCTTGCAGCTGCCGCTACGTCTGCTTTCAGTGCTTCTGCTGGAATGTTGTCTGGTTCTGCTGCTTTGCCACTCTTGATTTGTCTGGTGGCCATGCTGATTTCTTCAATTGTTAGTGGGCCAACATTGATTGGGAGGTCCGTGTGTGCTGCTTCGATATTGGGTGGGTTCAGTGGGGCTGGTCGATTTAAGAGTTCTTTGACGTGTTCTACCCACCTGTTTCGTTGCTTTTCAATGTTGGTGATTACCTTGCCTTCCTTGCTTTTCACTGGTCGTTCTGGTTTACCCTGATTTCCTGACAGTTTCTTTGTTATGTCATACAGTTGTCTCATGTTTCCTTCTCTTGCAGCCTTTTCCGTCGCCGTTGCTAAATCTTCCACATATTTACGTTTGTCGGTTCTGTTGCTCCTCTTCACTTGATTGTTTACTTCTGTGTATCAGCTTGTGCCTTGGCTTTCTCTGCTCTTGTTCGGCTGGTATTCATTGCTGCCTTCTTGTTCTTCCTTTCTTGAATCTTGTCCAGTGTATCAACAGTGATGGTGCTTCTTGTCTCCCAGAACCTCATGACATGTTGAAGTGATTGCTTATTTGATCCCCTTCCAGTTGTTCTTCATAGTAGTCTCCTCTCCATTGAGTAGATCATGAAAGGCCTGGAATCTATTGCTGAGGGCTATCTCGAATTTGTTGAGTTTGTCAGTATCCTGAAGAAATGCCATATTGAACTTTTCTGATATTGTCCGCTCCGTTGTCCAGTGTTTCTTGAGGTTCAATTTCGTCTTGGCGACCAGCAAGTGATGATCTGATGCTTTATCAGCTCCTCTCTTGGTTTTCACGTTCTCCATCGTCCTTCTGTACTTTTTGTTGATGGAGATATGGTTGATTTGGTTTTGCGTAGTGTGATCCGGCGAAGTTCCTGTGGTTTTGTGTATGAGTTTATGTGGGATTATAGTGCCACCTATGACCAGTTTATTGAAGGCACATAGGTTTGCAAATCTCTCACCATTTTTGTTCCTTTCTCCCAGTTCGTGTCGTCCCATGATGTCTTCATATCCAGTGTTGTCCGTTCCAACCTTGGCATTTAAATCTCCCATCAGGATGGTCAGGTCCTTTGTTGGGCAATTCTCGACGATTGACTGCAACCTGTCGTAGAGTTGATCTTTATCATCTTCACTATAGTCAGTGGTAGGTGCATAGCATTGGATGACGTTCACTGAAATGCCCTCTTTCTTTGTTTCGAAGGAGTCTTTGATGATCCTTGGTCCATGAGATTCCCATCTCACAAGTGCATTAATGCGACTCCTTGTGCATGTGGGGCATTTTCTTCTCCATGGCCGCAGTACAACAGAAGCTCTCCTGAAGTCAGTCGTTGTTGTCCGACTTGCGTTCAATGTGTTTCATTGACCCCATGCACCTCTAGGTTGTATCTCCTCATTTTCGCAGCAATTCGGAAGACTCCCAGTCTCCCACATTGTACGAGCATTCAATGTACCTAAATAAATGGTTACTCTGGTTGTCAGAAGGGGCATCGGTCTCGTGAAACCCGAAGGAGCTCGTCTTTCATCATGAGGCGTCATAAATGAAGACCTTCTGACTCCCAGGACAGTGCTTAAATGGTTCGAATAATTTTTTCTGGTTAGCGTTTTTTTAGCGAGTGACTCCAGGCGGAGTTCATTGAACGATTATAAAAGCAAAAAACACGTCTCTCTAAAAGGCACGTTAAGTGGGCCAGTTTCACTTCAAATAATCCCTTTAGTTTTCAATAGTTTAGAATTGTTTACTGTACACTAAATTATTCCGCTTAATTGGGAAAAAATAACTGTTGAAAGAAATTGATTTAATCAGTTCTTTTTTACTATCATGTTGATCATTTTTAAATATTGAAATTACTTTCACGTGGTATGATCAACATAATTGAGTTAATTATATCTGTTTACTTTGAAATTCTTCAGCTTTACTGATCAGCTTTTTATAGAGTTATAGAGTTGTATTTTATACAATTCTGTTTATCAAAACTAAGCAATCCATTTAATTTTTATTATTTAGCATCATATACTGGATCTAGTTCAGATGATGATGATGAAGAAAGTCAACAACGTGAAAATCCAAAGGAACGTTATTTGAAACCTGGACTTAGAGCTGTAAGTTTCGTAAAAATATGTCACCTTATACGTTTCATTCTGTTAGTTTAATATGATAATAAGAAATAGTCTGATGGTTGTTCAAAAATTCAAAGGCGATATAATTATTGACGGAAAAAATGCAAATTTTACAAATTTGTTTTCGTTTTTGTCGTTGCATTTTCATTACGACTAAAATTTACGGAACTTTGTTGGATTACCATCTGATTATTTGTTCTACTTTATCGAATCAACTACCATTTGTAAATAGATGTATGCTTAAAGTTTAAAACAGTTAATTACCTTTTTATAACGTTGCCTACTCAACACGACAAAATAAATTACCATTACTACTACACTGATTGTGCATCACTTGGCTTATCAGTGTTAGATAAATTAAAGATGATATAATTGTGAGATTAAATTCTATTGAAAAGAATTTTTATTAAAAAGATATGAAGAAAATTAACCTAAAAACTAGTCCTAGCATTATAAATAAGTCATTTATATTTGCTATTTTAATGATTACCTGAATGAATAAAAAATTTACCAAGATCATCTAAAGAGTTGCTCAAACTCACTCACATAGTTCAGCTTCACAAAATCTCGAAATAAGCAAATAAAAGCATGTGATAAATTGTATAAAATAGTATGCTACTCAAACTTTACAATTTTGTTTTCTTTACTTGCCTCAACGAAAAAGCATAAAATTTACTCAATTGAAACCAGATGTCGTTAGCTTCGTGTGTCAGTGTCATGTTTTATGTTAGAGATTCTACTTTTCATCACTTACTGCCGCTGCTTTTTTCAGAAATCGTCACGTAATATTTTCATAAATCGTTTGGTTCTGTATGTTTCATTTTTTCCCCTAATTTTTTCTTCACATACTACCTTCTTACTGTCATTTGTAAATTGGCTACCGATCATTAATGAATTATCAGTTTAATCGATAGGGGTATTGCACACTCAAACCTTGGTTTCTGTTATCGATACTACATCTTTGTTATTGACATTCTTTTCAAAAGTTAAACATATATGTTTTTATTCTTTCCACGAAAGTTAGGAGGAAAAACTTTCAATTTAAGTAAAAATTTCTGTTAAAAAGGCTCTTTCTTTTTCATAATAGGTAAACTCTAGAGGATTTAATGATTTCTGTGTTCAAAAAATCCGTCAAGCTTCTTTTGGACGTAGAGAAATTGAAATAGCTGAACAAGGTAATTACCGTGTTATACAGTTGATACATTTTTTATGAATTTCAATGTAGCTAGAATAATATTGATACAGAAATAATGTGACTTGATTACATTTTGTAAATTCAACCGCTTACGGTCGAAAGCATCTGAATCGTCTTTATTCCGTAGCATTATTCTTAAGGATCCACTTGAGAATATTTTTTCTCATTATCAAAGCTCCGCTAATTTTACCCTTTAAGTCAGCCTACTTTTCCCTATCACTGGATTTACATAATCTGCTGGGCTATTGTTCAATCTTCAGTAACCACTTGACTTTATGCTCTTCTCAGTTCTGTCTTTACTGTTTTTTGAATTAAGTTTACTTGTGAATTTGTGTCTATTATTAATTTGTTAACTTGGTTGTACATCCACTGTACTTTTGAAGTTTTTGTACTTTTTTTTAGTTAAAATCATCGTCAATGTCCACTTTTCCACCTGTAATTGTTGCAATGTTATACCGGAAACACTTAATATATTCATGTGGTTCTAGTTACTTATTAGTCAGTTGAAATTAAAGTGAATTGTTACTTAGTAACACTCATAAAAATCATATTTTAATGATACAGACTCCTAAAGTAATCGGTTGTCTGATAATTAAACAAGTAACTAACTATTTATTTATTTATTTGAACACATAAATATTGGTACAAGAGAGCGCCAATATATATGCGCCACAAGTGGTAACATACAATTTTCAACCGGACAGTGACTCGAGAACGTTTAGATACAGTCGGAATTCCACCAAAGACGAGCCGCTGTATAAGTATAAAAGAGGGTGAATAATGTGGAAAATAATAATAATAATGATAATAATAACAATAATGACAATAATAGTAGTAATAATAATATTAGTATTAATAATGACAATAATTGTAATGATAATAATCTGAATCAATTGTTTGTTTTTCAAAGCGACAAAAGTAATTTCCATAGACATAAAGAGTTCATCATTTGTGTGTGGGCTGTGATACTGCCCGGGTGCCCAAACCGAAGCAGGTGGTTATCTTAGGGGGCCACTCCCCGAGCCTTTGACCTAAAGGTCTAACCCACAAGGCAGTGGAGCATCGTAAGGAGATGCAGTCCCATGGTAGCCGGTGACCAACGATTGGTTCATACGCCATTCGTTCCCGCAGGATACTGGAGCCCATGTGCACCATTGATTTGGAATCCGGTTAAAGCGCCGGATATTCGCTTTCCGTCCTCTCATTTTCGTAAACAACACCCCCGCCACGAGAAGGCAGTGAGTAGGACTTCCCTGGCAGAGGCTGTATACGCGTGGCCGTGTGAGAGTATTTCGAGAGGGAGAGCGGACTCTCCCCACTCTCGGCCGTACCAGGGCATTCAGGGGGCAAGTAACTACGCTTGTAGGATAAGATGAAGCGGTGGCTTGGTAATTATGGGGTTTCGAATTTTTGCTAGTAAATCCTAGGTTCGAAATCCCCTCGCCTGCTTTGGGTTTGAGCAATTGTTTATGTTCATTAATCCTGCATATTTAGAGTGTGGCGGCTCCTTACCCAATACCTGGTGAATAAGTTAATTCAATTTTAAATTAAGAATCAATTTTCTTTGTTAGTAACTCACTGGGCAGTATAAAATATCATCGTGTTCAGTCTATCGTTTTATTGGTTATGACTTTATTCCAGTGAACAATCTCATCAAATTTACAGAATTCTCTGTTAACAGTTTGCTAATTGCTGGAACGGTTGTTAACTGTTTTTCATGTTCCTATATGTTTATGTTCCTTTTGTTCTATAAACTATATTTCATTAGTAAAGAAACGTCTCTAACTCTTTAAGAATAATACTTTTGAATGTTAATCCAACTGAACTTTTCCTAATTCATTGTTTAAAAAGCTCAATTTATTTTAAACTAGCATTTATCTACCATCTTATATTAGTATATAGATTATTACATTGAAGTTCATAACTAATCTCATAGCTTTTATTTTTTCGTTACATTCAACAAAACACATGTTAATAGGTAAAATGGTATTTTACATTGTCCTTATTGACAGTGATTGAAAACAAAAAGCACAACTAGTTTGTTTTATTTTTCGTAAAACGAAAAAATTTTTTTTCTATTTATATATTTTCTCACTCCACATGTTACCCATTGATTAAACATAAGATAGTATCATTCACATGTACAAATTTTTCAAAAAAAAGTGTCCACCAATATTTTGAAAACAGCTAGTTACTATCACTTGACTTTTTAATAACATGATCATAATAGATATTATAATAAATATAATTAACTTTTTATTCATTTCTATATTGTTAAGAATATATATCTATTAAACTTGAATAAAAATATGTACATGTATATACGCCTAATTGTATGTTGTTTATTTAACATTTTATACGATGGAGATAATAAAAATCAAACTTTTCAGTAAATCATATGCCTTTTTTCAAAAATTTTTTTACTATCATTATAACAAATGTATTTTTACTGGATGTTATTTGACATTAAAAAATCCTGTCAATGAATTTTTACTGTATTAATTATAAAGGCGATGAAGGGAAGACACATATGCACATACGGATATAATTATTATTTATATAGGATATTGAACTTTTCAAACTAGTTACCTTAATTATAACGATGATATTTTTCAAATTTCTTTTATTTAGAATAGTTGTTTATGTTTGTTTCAATGTTAAATCGACATTATATATATATATATATATATATATATATATATATATATATATATATATGTTCGTTTACTAATATGGATTGTTATCAATTAACTAAACTAACTAACGAGCTATTGTTTGCTTCATTCCCCTATGGTTAATTTTTTTATTATTATTTGTTTAAGAAATGCCTGGTTTGATGGCATTAAGAAAGCGTGCTAAAACTGATCAGCCATTAAAAGGAGCCAAAATTCTCGGTTGTACACACGTGACCGCGCATACAGCTGTGAGTGAGGATTTTTAACCGCGAGATTTGTTTCTGTTTTGTACATTGTAGTTAGATATTTTTAAGTGATTATTATGTACACCATGGATATGTATTCTTTTTTTCTCGTTTAATAACTGATTCTTAAATGTTTTACAACTCATTCCCTTTGAAAAAGCTAATATCGAATTATCGGATGGGAATGAAATAATTTAATTTACATAGCTAAAATTTCCACAAATATAATTTGTATATGATGTGATTCTTTGGAGTATAACAGATATTTATGACCCTTGATATGTTATATTTATCCGAAAAACAGAAATAATGCGTATCAAATGGTATTCACAATTGAAATCCCGGTAATATTTATGTCGTAGTGAACAAGAACACCAATCAGGACGATGAAATGTATTTTAACACATTACTGAATATCTTGGTAAAATCTGAGAACCATACTGTAAAGACTTCACTTGCCAAATATGCATCGATTGTCTCAAACGTTGTTGTTCGTTCGTGTCCATACCAATTACCCTCTGTTCTGGTTCTCTTCTTTTCGATTTTCCCAACTGTTTGCCACCAGGCATTTCACTTTCGATTGGTGATACATACTACTTATATCTGTCGACATCAGTGGCATGCACTACAATATAATATCACTATTTGTACTGGTTTGATTTAATCCGTTATTAATTAACCCTGAATTCTGATTACCCTTTGCTGGCACGTGTGGATCCTAAGCAGATTACTTCAATATTAGATATGGTGTAGTGAACGAAAACCCAGATACGGAAAACCATTTTATTTTTAAGTGCAAAACCACCCAGTGGCTTGGTAAAATTTGAAACTCATACATTAAATACATCATTTTCACAGTTTTACGTTGTCCGTTTACCTACCCAACCATCCCCATAGTTCTTTTTGTTATTTCGATTGCTCTCCGATGGTCCTTCTGTTTTCTTCATTCAATTTTCTGCTGCCAGGCTTTCACTACTGATTGAGGTTTCATACTACTTATATCTGTCAGCATAAGTAGCATATACTACGATAATATCATAATTTGTTTAGAATAGTTTGATTGTAGCTAACATTGATTTCCAGTACATGCGTTTCGTCGTATTTGGGACTCGGCAGATGAATATACGTAAACAACGGGATAACTCAAACTCTTTCTAATGATGATAATAAAAATAATAATGACAAAAAATAATGATGCAAACAGCATACCCATTAAACGAGTTGATAGCTACCTAAACTCAGTAGCTCAACAAATAGCGCGTTGGTCATTAGAAGCGAAAGATACATAGTTCATGTCCCAGTGTGAACGCTGAGACAAAGGTTCGTTAGGTTGTCGAGTTTTGGATGAGATAATATATGTGTCCTGAATTCTACTGCTAGCCGCGATCCACCACTTCTAAGCCCCAGTTATATTTGCCTAGAAAGTCGTGTAGAAAATACGAAGCCTAATATATACAAAGTTTACAAATTATCTAACAGAGTAATCTGGTAGCAGTTCAAATTTATTACTATCGTCGGATAAAATAAATATATACTAATTACCTAGTTTAAATATTGTGATTGCATCCAAGTATCTATATATATGTAACCACCTAGGATAAGTAGGTTCGACAGTATTAAAACAACTCAGTTGTCAGTTATCTGCTTAGAAAATTTTGTTATAAGTGTAAGACATATTGTGTTTGCTCAAAGACCTTTCATAATTTGATATTAACACTTCCATTCATAAGTCCTATAACTAAACCGGCTGTCAATATTAAACGGCCTACATGAACTTTAGATTTTTTTGTTCATTTAAGTTTTAATTTTTTCTTCCGGTCATCGGACACATGCCTATATACTGTAACATGTTTAATTAATTAAATACAGTGGATTCAAAATCATATTGTTCTGTGTACTTCTATCATTTTATTTTTGAAAATGATTAGCTGATTATGAAAATCCACTGAGTCTTCTCAATATGAATTATTCTACTTTCTACTTTCTTGTTTAGATGCACATTTTATTCATTTAGAAAGATTTTTTTCTATCAATTAGGTACTACTTGAAACAATGGTATGTCTTGGCGCTCAAGTTCGATGGTGTGCTTGTAACATATATTCAACACAGGTAAACCATGTTTGTGCTGTTATGTTTTGGCCATGTTAGAAAAGTTTCTTTTTCAACAGTTTGGGATTGTACATGTTTAAAAGATTCGTTGTATGCAGTTTTTTCAGTAAAGTAATCTACATGATTTGTAGAATTCATAATCATAAACCTTGTAGAAATTTCTATTTCATATCTTGATGTAACGGATAAAATAATTGAGAGTTAATGTTCGCTAGATACCAACAAATTATGTCAATAAGTCTTCATTTCGTCTGTTAGCTGTTTACTTCACTGTGTCTAAAAATATCATTTGCTTTAAAATTATTCAGTGAAAAAGTTTCACAAACATAAAATCAGTCACAAGTTCCGATGTTGAAAAATAAGCATCAACAAAATATTGTTTCACTGATTGACTGACATATTTCATATACTTCTATGTGGTTGTTAAACTTCATGATTTAGTTTATATCACATACTGTGCTCAATGATGATGAAAACTGACTTATTTAAATGTTTTTTTTCTCAAAAATATTTCTACCAAATGATTTATTAATGTCAAATACATATGTACTGTGAAATCAGTAGTTTCTTCATAAATTAATTGGTTCAGATAATTAGTTAAATATATGTGTATTGTTTCGCTACAATTTGATAGTTATTCGTTGATCAAAACGTATATTTGATGAAGCAATTATTCTGTATTTCTATCGGAATAATCATTTGGAACTTACGTTTGAATGTGAGGTATTACTTACTTACTTACGCCTGTTACTCCCAATGGAGCATAGGCCGCCGACCAGCATTCTTCAACCCACTCTGTCCTCCGCCTTCTTTTCTAGTTCCATCTCATGTCTATCTCCATTTCCCGGCGTAATGTGTTCTTTGGTCTTCCACTTTTCCTTTGGCCTTGAGGATTCCATGTGAGGGCTTGTCTTGTGACGCAGTTGGGTGCTTTCCTCAATGTGTGTCCTATCCACTTCCAGTGCTTCTTCCTGATTTCTTCCTCCATTGGGATCTGGTTTGTTCTCTCCCACAGTAGATTGTTGCTAATAGTGTCCGGCCAACGGATCTGAAGTATTTTGCGTAGACAACTGTTAATAAACACCTGTATTTCCTGGGAATGTGAAGTATTAGTTTGTAATATTTCTCTGTATCAATACTATTTAATAATATATGCATGAAGGATATGCTTTTCAATAAGTTTTCTTCGTTTACAATTATATATAGTTAATAGTTCAGAAAGTGGCTAGTTTTAAAACAAAATAAGTTTATAACGCAGCCTCGTTTGTGCAAAATCTTACAGCTTTTATATTTTTGATTAAAATGGGTATATTTTCAAAATAAACTCACAAGTAACCCATTAAGATATTACAAATATATTATTTTTTTAGTTAACAATTTACCCAATGCCCTATTTGTTTGAATTTATCAAGTCAAGTCTAATGACACATTAGTTTTGTTTCCAGATTATTATAGTCTTTGTTGTTATTCCACCAATCATTAGTTGTCATTGTGCTCTGTTGACTATGAAAAACAGTTTAATTATTATATGATATCATACCAGGACAGTGTCATGTGATTTAATAACTTGGTAGTGTTTCAAATCAGACCATAAATTTTCTTGAAGTTACAACTTATAAACTTATAAATGAGTATGAGCAAATAACACAACTCCCTAGATCAAAGTTGTTCTGTTGTTTTCTTGCAAAAAAAGAAAATTCATGTATTTAATAGTTTTATGTATAGTATTCAAATGTAATGTTAAAAGGGATTTATTCTTAGTCTACGAAAAGCTATTTGTGTCTATTTCCATCGTCATGTGATGAATAATGGAGCTATGCAGCTCAATACTCTTTCCATTGATCCATTCTACTTATTTTTAAATTAAAACGCACTTCAATTACTTTTTAATAAATCATTTAACAACTAAGAGTTAATCTCTTCCGGCTTTTCCTTGTTATCATTGACTGGCAGAGTAGTAGTCTAAGAAATATGAGATCTTTTAACTGTTCTATCGTCTTTTTTGTATTGTACCTATAAATAACACAAAAATATATCAGATAATTTTGATGAACGCATTTTCTCTGAATTATCTTAACTTAGCAGCCGTTCTAATGCTTCTAATTTTCACTATTATTAGTTTTATTTTCCCATTAATAATTACATGACGATCATATTTGTATGCCCAAGATTTTTCAGCTTTTTAATGTTCGTTGATATTGTAATTATTGTATTAACACTGGTAATACTGTGTAATTATTTTTATTACCATTAAAATACTTTTTGTTTGTTTATAGAATGAAGTGGCAGCAGCGTTAGCTGAGTCCGGTGTTCCTATTTATGCATGGAAAGGCGAAACTGAAGAGGATTTCTGGTGGTGTATTAATCGTTGTATATCTGCTGAAGGTTGGATACCCAATGTAGTATGTCAGATGTTTTTATCCTCTCTACTTATTACTTTGTATGTTGAATTTTATCTGATATTTGAAAATTATTTCTTGATCTTTTGTTGTTTTGACTTAGTGATGTGTTTTTTTCGTGAGAAACGTATTTAGTTGGTATGTTTAATAAACGTGGAACATAACCTCTTAATTATGTACTTGACAAGGGAGACTTTTTTCAGAAACGGTTTATATTTCTTTTTCTTTGACAGGAAATAAGAGTTGTTAATTCTTACTGTTGCAGTTTAATGCAGAAAGATATTGATGAACAAATAAGCCTTATTGTTGGTATATTTGCGAAATAAACTTACAACTAAATTATTAAAGGTGGATACATTCCGGTCCTCACTTGGAATGCATCTGACAGCTATCCTTCACGCACCACTTTGCACTGTAGTTTGTCGCATGAATTCCTCATGATGTTGACGATTTTCTCAGGTACACCATAGTGTTGAATAAGTTCCTATAATATTCTCCTATCCAAACCGTCAAATGTCTTCTCATAATCAAGGAAGTTAATGTTTGGTAGCTAGTTTCATTCAATTGATTGTGCAACGATGATCCCTATTGTCGCTATTTCGTTTGTGCACGACTGGTCTTTACAGAATCCAGCCCGTTGATCTCAAAGGTTGGTGTCTACTGAATCGTTCATTCGGTTCAACAACACTTTTTTGAAAACATCAGAATAATTGAATAGATCAGTTCGTCGTGCAACTAGCTATCTTGACAACTAACATGATCCATCATTGTGTTTCTGTAATTTTGATGTACCCTTGTTTTTATTGATATAATCTTTTTAAGTTCTGAGTACTAAACATAAAAGTCTTAATATAAAGGCCTACACTATATATATATACTGTAAAACTAATCGTACATTTGCATATTCTTAGACTGGGATTACTTATCATGCCTATAATATTTTGTAAAACTGATCTCACGATGGATGAACTAAATCCAAGTTTTGTTTTGCAAGCCGAATATCCATTCATCACAAATTTCAAAGGTTAATCTTACTGTCTAGTCTAAAGAAAATAATGTTGGCTATATGACGTAATCTTTACAATAAATACATTCAGTATCTTGATCTCAGTAATGAAAATTGCAGCATTACTTACAATATTGACTCAGTAAAACAAACCAGTGGAAAAGTATCGCTTCGAATAAAGTACGGAAATAAAATAAGCACGTTCACTATGATAAATTTAACTTAAATTTATACTAAATAAACTTTTAAAAAATCAATTGGTTTTTGTAGTCTATCCATTTAGATACTCGCATGGGCATGATCAGTACGCTGTTATCTGTTATACCGTTAGGTTAGATTGTCTTCATTTCCTAATTTATATGACCCAAACAAGATTTATCTCATACTCGTACACTACATATCTTGTCGTTTTTTGTGTTATGAGGTGTAACAACTTGAACAGATGAGTTTTACGTAATTGCATACTTTGTATATAACAGTGTGTGGAACTGTGGCTTAGTGGTTTAGCCATTCGACTCCCAACCTCTAATTTTCAGATTCGAACCCTGCATCACCTATTTCTCTTTGGGCAACTCGGTGGTTCATACTCAAATACCTAGTGAATTATTTGTTTGTCTGTCTGTGATTAACATTTCTGTTACAATACTTTTGCTACAAACACTGGTTGAATGAATTTAGTATATTTTCTTCGTGTAGTTGATAATATGCTTTGCAAATTAACGATTTCCCAGTTAACATTTTCTTGTCATTTTGATCATAATATCATGTAGTATTTCAACCTTAGTTCCTTTCATATTACTAACATTTTCAAAATAATCATAAATTTCTCTGTTTGATAAATAATTTGCTTTATGTATAAGGTTAAATGAGGGTTATAGATTTTAAGCCCTCAAATATATGTTCTACAATGATCCTAAAAACATTAATAATATTTTATACTGTTACTTCCTCGCTTCAACTTACCACCATGACTCAAAATCGTAACTAGGGATTGTATTTAACGTTTCTTACTATTGGGTATTCTATTTCATTTTCTTTTTCAGTGAACCACCTCAAAGTTTTTCTAAATTTCATGCAAATACTGATCATACATTGTTGTTCATCAATTTGCTCTTAATCGAAACAAGCTCATTTGTAAAGACTAGCCCTCTCATCTTACTTCCGTGTGATTATGTCACTATTGATGTGTTTTTGCATTAATGGTCCGGTTTGTTTGATCATGTTAGATTGTTGTGGACACGCAGTGCTGAAGAATCCCATACGTAAAACAGACGGCCGTCCGGTGCTCCTAGGTTTCTGCTAGTTTTCTTACTGGGATTGGTTCGTGATTTCAATACAATTTTGATTACTTCTAACCAACTTGTGTTTCTGAGATATATTAGATTTTCCATTTCCAACACATTAATGCTTTATTCTGATTTTTCATATTTGTTTCCATTTCTCCTCTCAGGTTTTGGATGATGGTGGGGACTTAACTCATCAGCTGCATAAAAATTACAAGGAACTACTGTCTGGTATATGTGGAATAGTTGAAGAAAGTGTGACAGGTGTTCATCGTCTTTATCAGTACGTGAAATCTGGCACATTGGGAGTGCCGGCTATGAATATTAGCGACAGTATAACAAAGTCAAAGTTCGATAATTTCTATTTGTGCAAAGAATCAATTGTTGATTCGTAAGTTTTGATACCGTCATATGAAACCATATAACAATATATATATATATATATATATATATATATATATATATATATCGTGATATACAAGGCATTTTGGGATTATATACCCGACTAATTTCCAAGAAATCTGAAAGATTGTTAACATTAATGTTTCAGTAGCTTTGAGCATATAATTTTCAAGTTATTCCATGACATTGCCAATCTAACTATCGATATCGGTATATGCTTTGCACCTTCGGAGTGCAAAGTACGTCCACAAGACTGGCAGGATCCTAATCCTGTACTCACTGTGGATGGGGAGCAGATAGAAGTAGTCGAGAAGTTCGTGTATCTGGGTAGCTGCATAAGTGCTGGTGGGGGTGTGAGTGATGAGATCAATGCACGTATAGTGAAAGACAGAGCAGCTTACGCCAACCAGGGCCATCTTTGGCGCCTTCGTGATGCTAGTTCGTCTGTTTAAGGTCGGATCTACAACGCGTCGGTGATATCAGTTTTGCTGTATTCTTGTGAAATCTGGGCTCTCTGAGTAAAGGATGTCAGACGACTCTGTGTTTGATATTCGCTATCTCTGAAGGATTGCTGACATTCAGTGGCAACACCATGTTAGTGATGCAGAGGTTCGGCATCGTGTGTTCGGGCACAGAGACGATAATCCAATTGGTATCACCATCTTAAAACATCGACTTCGGTGGTTTGGACATGTACTACGAATGTCGCCCCAGAGAATTCATCGTCGTGCATTATTTGCGAACGCTGGGACTAGTTAGAAAAAGCGGACAGGTGGTCAGTGTCTGACATGGTGTCGTGGTATGAAAGAGAGCTGCAAAAGGCTGGCTTCTGTTGATCGTTCACGACTTCCTGGTTGGGGTCCGAGAGATGGTGCTACACAGTGGCTAGAGACGTTATCAGATATAGCTCAGAATAGAAGCCAGTGGTGAACCTGCGTTGACTTTCTCTTACTTTCTTCATAAAAATGAACGTAACTTCTTAAACTGGAATGATTCTTTCTGGTTGTATCTTTACTAACTGAACTGTCCGTCCATTATTATTATTATTATTTTACTATCACACACTAGTTTCTGTTCGATATTGTTCCCCTTTTTCTTACACGAACGTTATATTCTTTATCTTTTTACATTCTCATTGTTATTGTGTATGTATCTGATGCCCCCTTGTACCAATATTTACGTGTTCAAATAAATAACTAATAAAATAAAACCAAGTTCGGCTAGACATCTCGGAGGTTCTAGCCCTCACACAAATCGAATGGTATATATATATATATATTTGATGCCTCCTCGTATCAATGTTTATGTGTTTACATAAGTAATGGTAAAACGTATAGTAGTGATGATTGGTACTGCATAATTTTCAATACAAATCTTTTTAATTCTTCTTCCTTTCAGTCTTAAACGAACTACAGATATGATGATCAGTGGTAAGACTGTATTGGTATGCGGTTATGGTGAAGTTGGGAAAGGTGTTTGTCAAGCGTTAAGAGGATTAGGAGCTTTCGTTTGTATTTCGGAAATAGATCCAATCTGTGCACTTCAAGCTTGGTAAGCAAAAGTTTTTATTTTCTCTCACAAGATTCGATACATTTCCATAGGAAGTTAGAGTTGTGCCTTTTTGGTTAATTTTTCCCTTAGTTTTATTTTAAAGTAATTTTTGTCCTGAACCAATTATATCAAATAGATTCCTCGATAATCAGCTGACATTGGATAGCCGTTAGGTCTTGGTTTGAAACGGTAATCTTGTTTTACACCACATGATTGAGAAAATAACATTCTGATCTCTTATCTAGCACAATGATTTCAAAATACTACTTCAAAATTCAATGCTTTTGACCTTGAGCACTTACTTATCGTGCAAATTGAAAGAGCCAGATGAATCTATTTTAACAGATAGTAACTTTGTTATGGAGAACACGAACCGACTTGAGTAAAACAGCCATTGAATATATGTATACTGTTGAGTAACTTCAGAATCAGACAAGGTCTTTGAATAACATTCTACGAATGCTTTTTAGTGTTAAAATCATTCAGGTTTTCCTGGAATGCCGAAGTGTTATAAATAGTAGCTTGAGATTTTTCAGAATTTCTATTTATTTTTGTCTTTCTGTTTACTTCGAAGCATGGATGGTTATCGTGTTGTAAAAATCGACGAAGTTATACGTTCAGTGGATATTGTGGTTACTTGCACCGGGAATAAAGGTGTCATTACTCGGGCCCATATGGATCAAATGAAAAATGGTTGTGTCGTATGCAATATGGGTCATTCTAACACAGAAATCGATGTTGTATGTGTTTACTTACACTTTAATTTTGTACAAATGTTTTTAGCTGCAAACAATTTCATTACTATACATTTATATAGATAGATATTCAGTTCATGATTTCGGTAAACATTTTATCAAAAGTTATCTGATCGATTATAACCTATTTGCCTTTTGATATAGTCAAAATAAGAAAATGTCAATTATTCATTGAATAAAATAACAATATTAAGCTCTAATCTAACACATTTCGTTATAAATTTCTCAGTCTTTATTTAGTCAGTAATATGAAACATTTGTATTTACCGCATACTGGTGAATAGAGATATTCAACTTAATAGTTGTATTCTATTGAAGTGAGCAATAGTTTGTTGTTGACATTCATTGATAACTATGTAAATGTTTGAATTATAACTAGTAACCTATAGGGTTTTGTCCTTATATCTTAAGAAAGTCAATGATGCTTCTATCAGCTTATCCAACCTATAACTAACATTTCAAACAAATGCAGCGTAGGTACTTCAGAATTCTTAGCTTGTTTTGGGGTAATAGCTATGTCATTTATTATTACAAGCTTATAAACTTATTTAATTTTTCAGCTTATCGAAAACTCTTAACAGATTATATGATTTAATTTTGTTGTTAAGTGTACAACTTGAGCAGAGAAGTGTTTCTTGTCAGTTAGCATCTTATTATGGCTCAACACTAATGCACAGGTTTACACTTAGACTTAAAGGTCGACACCAATGAAATGCATGTAAGTAAATATAATTATAATAAACGATGTGCTAAAGCCAAGGGTTGATTGGCTGATTCTAATTACGTGATCTTTTGACCTCAGAAGGGAATTATACTAAAAGTTCGAGATAATCATTCATATACGTATAAAATCACTTGGATTTTTTAGTAATCTAAGTAAATTCCATTTTGTAAAAATTGTTGTTTAGGTATATTATTAAATTTTCTATGGCACTTTTCAGTTGTGATTAGTCATTAAATGTGTTTTTATAACTGAGTTTTTTATGTCATTTCAAAACCTTCGACGGCTTGTTTACGAAAAATGCCCCCTTGTACTAACCTTATTCATGTGTTCATCAAATTAGTTAGTACATATATGTAATGCAATTTAGTTGGATATGTCTTAATTTATCCCAGTAATCAGACGCGATTGTTCATATGTATACTTGTGCTATGGTGTAATCATTTCTGCGACACGTAATAAATGATATATGATTAGTAACACTCTAATTTCTATCCCGATCTTTACGTCTCATTTGAAATGTTTCAAAACGCAAAGATCATGTGGTTCTTTAACATCATATTTTCAGACAATAATACATTAATATTTCTTTGATAATATACCTCATATTTGTTTCAATCTCTTAATCGTTTAGCGATCTCTTCAAACACCTGATTTAACATGGGAGCGTGTTCGATCACAAGTGGATCATGTTATTTGGATGGATGGTAAACGTATTGTTCTTATAGCTGAGGTTAGAGCATGTCTTTCATATGAAATGTTACTTCTGTTTTCGTTTATAATCATTTTTTATTAATTGAATATGGGTTTATTTTTCTCTTCATTGTTTGATATCTTCAATAGGGTGGTCAAACCAAAACGTAGTATCAGTATCACTCCATGAAGTTATTGACTGTTGGTTTGGTCTATTTTTGACAAGTGCGAACTACCTGGTTAGTGTCCGCAAAATATCTGCAGTCAGGTGATATAGTGTCGGTTAAAATGACACACATTCACTCACTTAATATTCCTGTCTATTGTAGACTCTAGTATTCCTTCACTCATACCTTCACACCTTGTCTTCTCAAAGCATATTCGCAATGATTAGTCTTTCCTATTATGATTGCTACTACATTATTCCCACCTCTTTTGCAATTCATCTTTTTAATTTCGTTTCATTGTGCTAATGTGGTTTACAAACTGAACTGTGTATCAGGCTTTTGTTTAGGAGAAAGTGGGTTTCAATTATTTCTTTTTAAAACTTATTTACAACTTTGATTCTATTAGAATTTATTTGTGCTTTCTTGTTCTTCTAGGGTCGTTTGGCGAATTTAAGCTGTTCAACTGTTCCATCGATTGTTGTCTCTGTTAGCGCCAGTACTCAAGTTAGTTTGCGATAAACTGGGTTCATTATTTTGGATAATTGTTTTTTAACGTTACAACTATATACTCAGTATCATTTGATTGAAGTTACCAAAATGACTCCGTATTGTTAGTTTAAGTGATAAGGTGGTACCTGGTACCTGGTAATTGTACTATATAAATAGTTTCACATGTTTTTTAATGTAAACAACATTTAGTACATACAAGAATTCTTATCGTAATGATCCGATTTTAAACTATATGTTCTTCTTGTCACCATAAGAGCTTGAAAATGAACATTTAGTCATTAGATGAATCTAGACAACATGATACTTAATAAATATTCATCGTTTATTTAATTCGTTTTGATATTTTAACTTTATTTGATTCGCTTTTCTTACCATAGTCTACGTTACCTGGAAACATGAGTTTTCATACTTCACACAGTGAGACTGAATAATCTAGTTTAGTGGGCAAACAATAATAATGAATTTTGTGCTGATGATGTCGTTCAGAAGAACGATAAAAGCTCCACGACCAAATCATCCAGCTCAGAGAACAGAACTCCATCAAAATAATAATGTATTGCTTGTTACTGTATGATATGTACTCCTTTTAATTATCTATAGTAAATTAATATGAGCACTTTTTTCTGGTCTCTGTAATCTTAATTTTGTTGATTGACATTCTGTGCTGGAAAAGAACATCCCATCGTATAACAAACTTTTTTTGTCAGAATGTAAGTTTACAGTGATTTGTGTAGTCTAATATAGAAATGACCAATCAGACATACTCCATTCAATTATATAACCTGTAAATGATGCAGGATGCTTATTTCACAAAGATCTTTTAGTTCAACTGGCCAAAAATTTTGGCGAATAGTAATGATAATAATAATAACAACCATGTACAAGAAGTAATTCATTGTAGACTCGTGAATATCATTCTTAACAATATATTTACCATTTATATCATAGTTAGAAATGATTTAAGTTATCTAGTTGTTGACAACCTTAAAATAATTTTCGATCAGTTGGTTGGCATCCTGGATTCCACTGCTAGTCACGATCTATCTGTTCTATGAATATACGTTAATACATAGAACATTTATTGTATTATAGTATCAATTAATTTTTTTAAAAAAACTAGTTTTTTGGCAGCGTTTAATACTTATTCAAAAATTTGGATTCATTTCTTTTGTTTGTGTGTGTGTGTGTAAGTATAATAAATCTTATATTCACAAGTGCTCACATAATAAAAACATCAAACTTATGACCCAAATAAAATTATTCATAGTTTTAAATACATATGAACTGATGTAATAAATTTTGCATGATTTCTAACGAAATTTTACAATGAAAAAGAAATACACAATGTAAATTAATATGTCAACAATATTGTCATGTAAATATTACATAATAGAAACAATATTATGCAAGTTTAATTTGTGATTTTATCTGCTGTATGTATGATGTATTTGTGCCGAATGCAAATCAACCATTTATACTATTCTATTTTGTTTATTTATTCAAGGATAAGAGAATAAAATGCATACCTTTTATTATTATTATTATGTATTTATGATAAGGTCTTTGTTTTGTTATGCAAATTTCATTTTATTTGAATAATTCCACTGTTTTTTATAATAAAAAAAATAGTGGTCTACACTAAAATTATATGTTTGATCCCAAAATTTATAACCTTAAACAAAATATTTGTGTTTTCTTCTTTTTGGGAAAAAATATTTTAAATTTATTTACTCTAATTGATTTGTATAATTTTTATTCAGATATTAGCTTTGATTGAATTGTACAATGCTCCTTCTGGTCGTTATAAAAATGATGTGTATTTATTACCGAAAAAAATGGGTAAGAGTGATAGTTTATGTGAATTATTGTAACTGTTTACTATGTTCATCCGTTTGTTTGTTGTTTTTTTTGTTTATAATATAAAATATGTTTAATTATTTGTTTATAAATCTTTTACTATTGAACGGTAACTTTTCGTGTACATTATAGTGCATCATTTTATGTTGATTATGTGAAGGCGTGAAAGGTCGACAGGTTGAATCCATTGTTTGCATGAACACTTGACCAATCAAGTGAATGTCTGTATTATGTCTAAAATTTACTCCAAGTCCCATCTTTGTCCCCCAGGATGTGATGTTTTTTAGCAGTTTGATTCAGCAATTAATACATACTTCTTAGTACTCACCAAATTATCTATTCAGAGAAGATTAAGTTTATAGTGGAAACATTATTACTGAAACTTGAAAATTTATTCAGTACCCATGAGTATATATATAAGTATTGACTCAGACAGGGATATATGAATAATGACACTGGTCAAAATAATGATCATCTCACACACAATAGACCCATTTACATTTATATTTTTCTCCCACTGTTTGGCTTTCGAATAACATATGGTCTGCTCAGCCTTATAACATGTAATCTATTCGAAACTGTCCGGCCTATCAGTTCTCTCTCTTGAAAAGTAGGTCTTTTACGGATTGAAATGTTTGATTTGGGATGAACGATATTTTCTTGGTAGTCTTTTTATAGTCTAGCCACTGTATCTGTGGCCGATATAAAGGACCAGTTAATATGGTCTAAACGTATCGACAAGACAGCCTAAAGACAAATTAAACTTAGTCAGTTCTTGAAATGTTTCATATTTTCTCGGAACTGTGTGTAATTCATAGGTGTTAAGGATTTCTTCTTGATACTTGTTTCGCAGATCACGGAAGCAGCTTTCCTTTAAATGACACTTTATGAAGTTGTGCACTCATGAATTGAAGGCTAAAACTGATGAAAGTCGCTAGTCTATATGAGAAGCGTTCTGCGAACTATATTATTCACATATAACTTGCATACTGTCTTCCGTATGACAGTTTATTAAAGTTGGGGATATTTTTTATGTGTGAATGCTTTCAAGCTCTTCTTCACTCATCTGGTGTTTCTTTCCTGTATTCATTTTTGTTTGACTGAAAAAAATATTTTTACTTGTTCGTGACCAGTTACAATTATTTGTTTTTCTAGTTGAACGACGAAATCTACTTATCTACGCATTTACTTCACTTTTTATTATTGTTTGTCTTCGCTTCCCCTTGTTTTATCTAGGTATTCTTCTTATTGTCAAGTTTAAATTAAATTCTTATTACAAATTCTCTTTTCGAGATCATTTTTTAGGACAAAAGAATCACTAGGCGTGGCCAAATTTTCTTCTCTGCTAACCTTTTCGTGTTTTTTTCATTCACTCTACAAGATCATCTCTTTGTTTTGTTTTCTCGGATAAATAAGAGTTGCTTTTTGTTGTATAGGTTAACGTTTATTCATTATTCCACTGTGTTATTTATTGAAAGGAGAAAATGTGGATATAAATCAGAAAGTCATAATATATAATTTAGTATTAATTTTAGTTTGTCCTACTTCCTTGTTCCATTTTTATTTCACTTCACAAAGTTATTAGGTTTTTGTTATATAAATCCTAAATGTTTCTCCATTACTGGTGTACAAAGATATTTTAGGTTAATTTTATTATTTTTTTGATTGGATAAATTGTGTTGCTTTCTGAATTCTTCACTGTGTTTGGCAAGCTTTATTACATGTCTTAATCAACTCCGTCTACGATGATTCACCACACCTCATCAACCGATTTGTCATGTTCACCTTATATTTACCTTATACTTAACATCATCATGGCTCATTCTATGATCGCAACATATGAAATATTTTGATCAAATAGAATGTAATTATTAAACCAACGACTGAGATCATTTGGTGGGATTAACAATATATCATCTGAAAGGCTTGAATATATGTTTTCTATGTATGATATTCAATTCGCTTTTAACATGCTTCACTAACAATAGTAGACAAAATTTTATCATGATGGGTTCACCCATCTAAACTCTAGTTTGTTTAAAACATATAAACAAATATAACCAGTTGTTTTTATTCATTGAAAGGAAATAAATAACATGAACGAAGTTAATTTATCACAAGATTCGTGATTTTCTGAAATGAATCGGTTGATGTAATCGAACGTGAAAAATGACTTTTGATATTTTTATATTTTATCGTATTATCATAAACGTGTGCTTTTTTGACCAAATGACATAAATAACTTTGTGGAAGTCTGCACCAAGACTTTCATTTCCAATTGAAACTTAACCATATTTCATCGATTGCTTAGTATTAACTCAAAATTTCGGTTTTGTATACAGTAACGAGGTTGTTGTTTTACTGCAATTGGTATTGTTGTATTTTCTGAGCTAGATGATTTAGTTTACAGTGATCTTATTGTCGTTCTAGTCGATATTATCAGTGCTTAGTTCATATAGAAGTGTAGACTGTTATAAGAGTGTATTATTCTTCATTGTTTTTTTGTGTTTTTTCTGTAAATATTGTCGTTATTCTAAAATATCACGTTCCGAAAGTTCATAGTTGTTAATGTAGATTGTATTAATTTAACCATTTTTTTGTTAATACTATAGATGAATATGTGGCAACATTGCATCTTCCATTATTCAATGGTCGAATAACTGAACTCACTGATGAACAAGCTCGATATTTAGGTGTAAATAAAACAGGACCATTTAAACCGAGTAACTACAAGTAAGAAAATATTATAAGGTTTTTTCATTATTAGCACATTAAGTCGAACCAAACTATACTTATTCACATTGAGGAATAAATAGAATAATATTATCCAAAACTGTCATACACTATAAAATTGTCTTTCTTACCTCTTTTTACTTATCGACAAACTCACTAAAGGGTTAGTTTCACTAAGATTCCTGTTATACTTGTTGAAATTGCGTTACCTGAGCTGGGTGGTTCAAACATTAAGCTGTCAATGTTTTTTGTAGATAACATCAGTACAAACTTTAGAAGAAAGTTTAGTTTTAGAATTTATCAACAAGTAACTACTAACAACTTGTTCTGTCTACCTAAAATTTGATTAATCATTGTTTGAACCTATCTCACTATTATCTACACATTCATCTTGTTTATCTTGTCCTGGTTCTTGATTATTTGGTTGCTTTTGATTTTTCTAATTAGTTGGTGAATTGCGTTTATTTCATAATGTATGTTAAATGTTTACTGATTTCAATCTCAAGCTTACAGAAATCCTCTCATTTTCTTTGTGTTTTTTCTAACTAAAACTTTGCCGTTTTTGCAGTTTAACATGTGTCCGTAGTTGTCTATATGTATTAATATAGGCTAACATATGCCTTAGGATTTGACGGCAAAGTGGGATTATTGTAGACGACGGTGAAGAGAATGAGCTCTCTGTATTATGTAGTATTCTTAACGATTTTGTCTTTGAGTTTACATAACATTAACTGAAGTGACTTTGCTGGGTTGAGGCCGACATCTATTATTTGAGCTGGATGGTTTGATCACGGAGCTTTCATCGTTCTTCTTGCACAAACTTCAAGTAGAACTGAAGTGTTTGAATTCCTCCACGTATGACTCACACCTTGCCCTGTCGACCTTGATCTTAATTGATTATATTTGACCATTAAGCTGTCATTGTTTACTTCTCTATTTAGATTGCATTTCCCTTAACCAAATTCTTATCGACAGTATTTTATGACCTATCCGTTTAAGAGGTGTAGTAAGAGCTCAGAAAGGTGAAAACTTATTCAGTTACTTTTTCGTTTTTTTGCATATGCAGTTCGTATGAAGTAGATGATGAGTTTTATAAGAAGTTTTCTGGTCTTAAGCTTGCGAGGGACAAGCGTGGTAGTCGTTCCAGGCAGTGTTAACACTAAAGCAGATATTCTAAATCGAGTTGGGAAATAATAAGTTGGGTCATTTGGTGTCTCAGGTGAGCGAACAATTAACGGTGGTCGTTTCCTGCAATTATTGTCAGATAGTCGTATTCCCCGTTCAAGTACAAGGTTTAATGATAAGGAGATGTTGTCTTACCTGCATCACACGCCCTAACACAACTATGGGTACATATAAACATAATAACTATCACTCATCATCGAAGAAGTTCGATAGATAGGTGCCTAAGCATTCCTTCTAAATAACATGGTTATATAAGTATGAACTTGCAAAACACCCTGATGATAATAAGAAACAAACATTTATTCCGTATTCATTTATGTATGACCCATTGTGTATATCTGTACTGTTCGTAATATAATATATTTCATTCATGCCTTTTGCTTAGTCTCAATTTACAAATGTCTGTTTTACCTTCAGTAACGTTTTATACGTCTACATTTCCGTTGTAGATTTTTTACTTGAAGCATTCATTTCATTGTATCAGATTTTAGAACAAACTAAATTTTATTTCGGCATATTTTTCCTATATTTTAGATACTAAACTTGTTCTCATTCTTCGTTTCTCCTCATGCACTGACTGCTGTTACATTTATTGGAAAATGTCTTCCTGTTCAGCATGTATACGTTGTATCCATTTGATTTTCGTAGAAAGTATGGTAGAATATTACATCTAATGTACTCTAAATAAATATGTTGAAGTATGAATTTCTCATTCTCATAACTTTCAATTACATTCCAATAACTATTGTGTAAAAGAGTTGCTTTGTATTAATCTAGTATATTTTCATGTTTCACCATTAATTTAACGTATGTCTTTCCTTGTTAATCTTCTTTGTAGATTTAGCGTTAAAAAAGATCATTTTTTATTTTGATTACATATATTAGTTTGATTCACCCTCACGGTAATTCTATTATATGCCTCATAAATACACTGATATATTAATGTTATCGAAATGCTAATTAGCCTAGGGTTGTCTTCAAGTATCACTCTGTGGTGACGCTGTTATTTTTCCTCATACTGATTTCTGTGTCATTATGGCGTCCTGTATCTTTGTTAATGAATCCTGTTGAATCTATCGGAATATTACGTAATTAGTCGTGTTTTAACTAGTTTCTCTTAATCAGACAAGCATTAATAATTCATTCATTATAATTCTAATTGATTTGTCTTTACCATGTATTATTTTTGTATTCTTTTTCGTGATTTCACCTCTTGCAATTCTATTTAACCATTTACTTTCCTCATTCATAACATACAGCGTTCTGTTTGACCTTGTGTAGAATACAGATAGTTATTTATAGTCTGTATGTATCGTCTATATGATACTTGCACTGTTTTTTTTTATATTGAATATGATATGATTCTACGCACATTCGCATCAATTTTATAATGGCTGTGGTAAGGACTAGATCTTTTTTGCTTGTATCCACGTATTCTTTAGACATGTTACAATAAATAATTCGACATTCAGTAGTTTGCAGTGTAGATTACTTTATCTGATATTCAAATGTTACTTACTTTATGAACGGTTATTTTGGATAGGCTTTTGCGAATCAATGTTGAATATGTTTGACGATCTACTGATGTGTCCATTATACGTAACACTAATGAGAGTTTGATGAAAAGCCTGTGATAGAACTCTAAAGTTTTGTTTATTAACCTGTATGTAAAATAATAGGGAAACATCCGGTTTTGTGTCTGACGATCGTTAATAATATCCGATGCTAACTTGTACAATTACTTTATTGTGTAACTATGATAATGTGTGTGTCAGTCACCCGTCTCTAACATAAGATAGATCTGGACAGTTTAGTTTTACTAATCGAGAGTAATAAACAATCCCACCCTAATGAGCGTTCCGAAATTGAATCATTTTAATGATTTTTCTAGTTACTAATAACTTATTTGAGTACATAAAATTTTTAAGTCCTGTTGTAAGTCGGTCGATGACCCCAAACCATAGAAAAACAATTTATCTGTTTTTATCTTAAAACATCTTTATATTGTGATTTAAAGAAAGCGCTGTTATCTGTCATTAGCTTCTTTCATTCTTTCCATTGTATACTGCGAAAGCAACGGTTTAAACACCAATTTATCAATAAGCTTTGGATTATTTCACTTTCTAAGTTTTAGCCGTATGAACGCAAATAAGTTCTAGTGAGAAACACCGTTAAGTTATTCTATGTGCATCGCGAAAAACGATCTGACTGAATTTCCTTGAGCATACTACTGAGTTATGAGTTATTCTTAAAAACGATCATGTATTAGGAACTTGAGGCGAAAAATGACAGACTAGGTTTGAGTACTTGACTCATGAAAAACGTTTTCACTACCTGCATGCGCGGATTCTCAAAAGCCTTATTTGGACCTTAATAAATAAAGTGGACATCGATAGGTAAGGTAAGAGCACTTCATTAGACCTTTTTTCAATTCATACGTAGTAGTTATCTGGAAAACGTTTCCAGCATCTGTCGTTACCACACGCTATTTATTAGGAAGTAACCCGTAGACTTAACAGCCTTGTTTATTAAAGCGTCTATTAACATGCCACCAAGCATTACTAAATCACGATCGCCAGTCAGAATGCCGACTTGTTTTGCGGGACCATTGTTGCGTTAACCAGCACGATTAGCCTTGAGTCAACTACGGGTCCTTATTGATCGTCTGTATAAATAACCTCTCGCTTAGCCCAGCTCTTTCATTTCGGAGCACAAATATCAGCCTTCCCCCATAGGAATCGTATATTTCAGACATATTTGGTTTATATACAAACAGACCAGATCTTATCACATCACAAATGTAGAAATATTAATTATACAAAGTCAAGCCGAACATGGATGTGGTTCAGTATATTAGTGGCCAACAAGTCGAGTGAAAGCTTATCATAAGGCGAATATAGGTGTGTATAATCTAGTTGCTTATTAGTTATACAATACAATATAGAATATATATATATATATATATATATATATATATATATATATATATATATATAGTAACAGTCTGTAAATAGTTCTCGTAATTCACCAATAGTATAATATTCGAATACAACGGTATCGAAGCATAGTATTTCGTTGATTTTTTTTTAAGAATTGGTATGTATATTTTTTATGAATATTAGAAACAAGTGCAGGTCGTTATTCGTTGTACGGGCTAGTCAATACGCCTATAGGCTATTGACAATGCTGGCTTTACACTTCGTTCACAAACCTAGGCACTAATTACATGCGGTTTAAATAACTCGTAAGGTGGATTTATGCTTTCTGTTTCTTTGAAGGGTGTTGAAATTTATTTTAATTACCTGAACCTATCTAAATTTGAACATAGCAATATAGTGTTGTAGGGCCAATGATATGTCACTGAGCCCTAACCAAATCATCCGACAGTTGGGTCACTGAATATCGAACAGATCCTCGACCTCTGTCAAAGCCAAGGGCAACCAACGCGTATACGTTGGTCGTATGCCATGGACTGGCCCATGCGGTCGTGGTCCCACTATATTCTCTGTACTCATTCTTACTGATATATGTCCGTAATAACGTTCTTTGTGTTGTACGCTCTTCTAAGCATCCATAGTTCCTTGATACAACGAAGGTTGTAATCCACGTTAGGCCCCCAACCATTCGACATACTCACCTACGCTGGTGATCTACTGCGTATTACGAATTGCCAGGTGTAAAAACCAAATATATATTGAAAGTTAAATCTTGAATTGGAGTTCTTATTAAAAATTTATGCACATATATGTTGCATCTACCCTGCGAAAAATCAATAAAATTCCTTAGAATGCTTAATTCTGTTAACACATTGCTTGCTGGAGAGCGTATGCGCGGTCACATTAACATAGCACCTACTGAGCGTGTTATTATTTGGTGTAATGTTCATTATTTCCTGCAATTCTGTAAGTCATAATAAATGATATTTCGTAGGTATCAATGTCAAGGTTTGACCTGATAATTTTAAATAGGTTGATCATTGAGGAAATTGTTATAAATAAAGGTAACATCTTAATGATTAGAAAACTCATAACCAAATTAATTTGGTTGCTTTTTCCCTGAAGAAGTGACTTTCAATTAGTCTGGAAAATCAGAAAATTTAATTTTCCTACTCATTGGGATATTACAAATGTGTTATTTTTATTTATAGGTGCTATTTCGTTTCGCTTACTGTTTTGGTTATTTTATAGTTTTGTATTTGTTTTCAGCGTTTAAGTTTGCAGAATTTTTACTACTTATACAAAGTTCGTATCGTTAGTCTTGTATATTTATCGATTAGGTTATTTGTTTCATGATTTTGACTTTGAGGTATGTTTTTCACGTTTTTAAAGTCTCAAAATTTACACTGTTATCACAAATTACGTTTTAGATGAATAATAAACGATTATGATGTTAATCGTAATTTTTGTCCTATAGGGACATGGATAAATAATATATTTTGCAACTACAAAATGAAGATCATATGTTTTCTTTCTTTTTTGTTGTTCTATGTGTAATCACGTTTATATTGAATATTTATTGCTCACTTGTATCAATTGTAAGCGGACATTTATAATTGGTAAATCACTGCACATGCTACTTTCAAATTTTATACAAACATTATCTATGCAATTTTTCTACTTTATCAGCGACGGCCTGTGATTTGAAGATTATATTAGGTTCACAACATTCTTTCTGGTCGTTCTGTCAACGTAGGATTATTGGGTTGAGTTATTTTTCGATAACGCTATCGGATCTATGTTTCTCTCCACTCCATTGGTTCAAAACATGCAGATTCGGGAGTGTTCTTTATTGTTATTAATGTTAATAGTTACCAATATTGTAAAACGTTATTCAAGCAACGAATGCTTTGTAGCAACGCGAAAATATATACCAGTACTGCTGATGGGCGTGTAGCGTGGTGTCGAGTCGCGGTAGACTATGAACACCGCTACCAAGAAACACGTGCCCAATAAATCCATAAAATCCCTCAGGCTAGATATCGGAAGTCAGTTAATGGACCAAGTCGAAATATATTTGCTGGCCGGAGTTACGTGTTTTACTACTAAGGATTTGTTTGGATTGTAGAACAACATGAGTTTTCCTTAACATATGAAGTTTTACGGCTACAAAAATATTTAGTTTGGCACAAGACATCATGGCATCTCTTGATCAGGTATGTAAATGACTTAACATTACAGTTAAACGAACCAAGTGCTTAAACGTCAGTTACAAAGCTAACATTAGCTGACCTTTGCCTCGAAAATTGCTCATCCTTATTTTAGATGATTGCTAACACTATGAAACATTCATTGCTTGTGCTGATAATTACCAACTCAGACTTTAGTAATGTGAACTATAATCTTCTTTCTGTCTCTCTACCTATAGTAAAATGACTGGTTTGGTGGTTGAAGATTCATTAATGTTAGCCCCGGCACCATCGGTAAAACCAACTTCGTCATCGATTTTAAATCTTTTCAAAATGATTCGAATTTGCGAACCAGCTTTCGTAAAAAACACAGTTTATTGTAAAATGTACGCATTGCAAAGCAGCCGCTGTCAAAGGTTTTCGCGCTTTATGGTCACTTTGCCGAGCGTTCAAATATTTTGACGAGGAAACGTTTCAAATTTTATATCCCATGTATCCAAGCAGCTATCCCGCGTCTGGTAAAGGATACTAACTCCCTTGAGCGTGTCCAGCGTGTGGGAACGAAATTAGTGAAGGGTCTTTCTAGACTCCCTTACGATGAGCGTTTAAAACGCCTAAATCTTTTCCTCTTGTCGTGTCGTAGGACACGTGGTGACCTTATACTGGCATTTCGTATCTTTAATTATGATTTGGGTGTTAATATGCCTTATCTTTTTGCTCCCTCCAGCACTAATAATCTCCGAGGTCATAGCAAGAAGGTTCATAAACAACGATCTAATAAACTTAATGTGGGGTCCTGTTTTTCTCATCGAGTAGTCATTCATTGGAACGCCTTATCCGAACAAGTGGTATCAGCCCCATCAGTGAATACTTTTAAGGAAAAGCTGGACCTTCACTGGAAAGCAATGTGTCAGGATTAATACAGGTTCACCAACCTACTATCCTCATTACTGAAGACTGAGTAGATCACATAGCGTTATTATGTGCACAGATACCAAACCCTGAATACAATGATGTGCATGAGTTTTCCAGTTGTGAATATGACGTTGAGTGTATATGGATCAACTGTTTGCGAACTGAAAAACATGAATTCTGTGTAGGTTGTCAGTCATCGGGTTTCAATAAATTTGGAATTCGTTTTGTTGAATACCATGCATTTTGACTGAAGCTAAATATTACTCAAGTATGACTAATTTCATGATGAAGCAGCTGTTCATAGCATGAAAACTTTTAATGGAAATGTATGTTTACTGTGGCCTCAAACAGCAAAAAACGTCCATCCGCTTCTGATAGCATAACATTCGTCACTCTCGTAATTTGTCTGACTATTGAGTCAATGGTGAAGTCGTGTTTCATATCTCGAACTGATGATAAATTTGGTTTCTAGAAGTGCTGTGGTTGATCACTAACCTGCCACAAAACCTCAAAAAAACAGGAGATTTCCGTGCAAATCAGACTTCATTAGTTATCCATAAGGAAATTGTCTCACTGATAATAATGTTATTCCACAATTTAGCCCAGTAGTCTGACATAACAAGGATTTTAGCAGACGTTACGACCGTAAAAATAAAGTTTTGGTGACTAACATATTTTAAAACGTTTAAAGAAAATATGCCAAGCCCAATCAAAAACTGAAGCGTTACTTGTTAGACATGTCGTATAAACATGCAGTTCTTTTAATGCTCTGTTGTATTTGAATACTCAGGGTCGTTTGCCAAGTTGGAAATTGGTTGTATGTCGGTGGCTTATGGTACCTATAGTTATTTGTTTGTGATAACCTAGATTTTGAATTTATTTTTGTCTGACCTATTGATACTAAGCAATGAGACTACATTTTAGGGACGATGTTTAAGTGATACTACAATGCATGATTTCGCGCAAAGATTCAAGACTTGCTGTTTTTTAAATCTCATTGGTTTGTCCATTTATTTTAGTCTCGCTCCTCATCAACTGATTATCAACCTTCAAACAATACTTAGGTATCCAAGCTTGTATCCAATATGAGTAATTACCGCTTTAGTACTAGTCCACAAACAGTTCTTCCTGTTCGAATAATTGGGTGGTGTTTTCACGGTTTTCGTTCTACTGAAAAATAATGCACAGCGAGTTGTTGTACAATATACTTGCTCGTTTGTAAGATCATGGACAAATGCCAGATGAGAAAACCGAAAAAAACCATATCTACGTGTAAAGATTCTCTACCCTAATTACTTGCCCGGTCTGACTGGGCTTTCCCCGATCGAAGCTGCTACCTTGACGCGGTGGTCGGGCTTGCCTATCGTGATGACCCAACCGAGCTATATTGGCTGGAACATATGTTCCTGCAGGTTCTACCATGCCAGGCAGGTCGATTGGCGAACGGTAAGACTAAAAGCAGCAACTCAAGCTCTGAGGGCGAAGTCGTACTGCTGACTGTAGAGAGGTGTGACAGCAGTAAGGTGTTTCCCTCGGACAACCAGCATGACAGCGATGCTGCCTTCCCACAAGGAGGGGTGGGGTTAGAAAAGGTCGACCCTAAAAATGCACACCTCACCTTACCTCACGGATTTCCGTCTCCGGCGGTAAGGCCCCTTGAAGAACGGAGCTAACACGTCAAAAACCTCCCACAAAAAACCGTGCGCGACCGGCCTCAAGCAGTTGTCCCTTGGGCTCTGCGGTCACGCTCCCAGGTCTTCAAGACCAACATTAATCCAATTTCCTTTTCAGGTTCCTCAAGATATACCCTTCCACAGTGTGGGCTGCCGTGAAGTGACATCAGCCCTCATACCCGTAACAGCACAAGAGACCAAGTTGGTCACATTCAAATCCTTCCTACACCTCCTAATACCTCTCTTATCCTCCCGACTAACCCTCCTCACGTCTCTTTATCACCTCGCACCGCTAGGGCAAACGATTCGAGTACGTGGAACGCCATTCCTGGTCTCCTGAAACCACGCTCTAAACCACACGTAGGAGCTTATAACGTACGAACACTTTGCCGAATAGGACAGCAGGCTTCCTTAGCTAAAACTTTAGAATCTCGCGCCATCGATGTGTGCTGCGTCTCCGAAACGCGCATACAGGATCCAAGTAGCGTCATTCATTTGACCTCACCATGCCAAAATAAAGAACCGACTCGATTTACGCTTCGTGTATCTGGAATCCCTGATTCTGCTTCCCGTGGCCTCGCCGGCGTAGGTATAGCATTGAGTCCTAGGGCAGAACTAGCTCTCTTAGAGTAGATCCCAGTAAACAGTCGTTTGTGCGTTGTCCGACTGAACGGAACAGTAAGAATCCGGAAAGATAGGGACACTCGTCGTTGCCACTATATTGTGCTCTTGGGTTAGACACTGTGATCGGTTAATCTCCAACTAACATTTCATATTTGAAACCAAAGAAACAATCTGAAGATTCTTGTATTACAATCTAAGATGTTCAGTAACCCCTAGATCTTGTCAACTTCCACATCAAACTGGACAATGTCAACAGGTAATTCTATCGTCAGAATGTTAGCTCTTGTAGAGTTAGACAAAAAAAGCCACCTTTATACAACTTAATACTTTAAACCAATTTGTCGGTTCATGTAAATGGAAAAAGTGATGTGTTTAAGATGGTGCTTACTAGTGAATGGTTGAGAGAAAATGCAGATAATGTGTTCGGAAGAAAAGACAGAAGACACAGTGCTCGAGAATTATGTAATAATAGGTCGCCGCTTCTGACTGATATATCCTGAAATCAGTCGTACTGGTACTTACTAGTCCCCCAATGTCATCCCATGCTTTTGATTCTTCGCATTTGTTTGTTCTCTTTGTAATATATTCCTTATGTTTAGCTGTCCATAGGGAATGATATTTTCTCTTCCTGTTGATTTCCCATCTCGCTGTGGTGGTTTAGCTATAAATATTTATGAAAGGTCTCATACTAATAAGCGACAGCCATTTAATTTAGTGAGTGCTCACAGCATCATTAACTGGTTTTCCTAGTCCCAGTATTCCCAATTTAATCGTCCCAAAATATACAAGTAACGCTTTAATGACACAATTGAGTATTCGCAACATACACGTCTTCAACCTATTTATTTATTGCGACTGTAAAGCAATGTTGAAGTGATGGATTGTATAATTACTTTTAGTATGTAGGTGATCTTGACACAATCGGTACTAAAACTAGCTAACCTGTTTCACTTTTTAACGGCGTCAGCGAGTAGTTCTTCACACAAGATAATTTATATTATATATTTAGAGAAAATCTGATCATTGAACGTACTCATTTTTATTGTTCAGCAACGATTTCGGTCGAGTTTCCGCTTGGACACTCAATTAGCAACGTCACTTCGTATTATTTGTCCACTTAACTAACCACTCAACCCCATCTTTTGGTTATGTGTATTTCGAATAAAACGTAATTGGAGGTTTCGGGGGTAGTCTACTTTTCCTACCTAACGATATCAGTCAGTCAGTCAGCTACAACGTAGGACCTAACGATATACTATTTTGTGTATGTAGTCCGACTGCTCAACACTGCTTGGGAAACTGTTTAGTAAATTCCTGTTTCTGTAGTCTTTTGTTCTTACTTGTTTTGTCGCTGTACTGTTGTTTAGTGAAGCTTTCATTTATTACCATCGTCGTATTAGGGTAAACATAAATCTTGCACATTTTTCCACCATACTATTGCAGCAGCTAGTATTCGTCAGTGTAACAAGCAGCTATCAAACGATCCTAGATTTTTGAATTTATCGAAACTTGACAGTTCCCACAATCGCTTAGTTTTGTTTTGTATGTTCACAACGCAATAAAAAGTCCGTATAACGTTATACTTGCGACGTCTAAACTTACAAGCTGTCGGGTTGTATATGAAATAATGCTTTAAAGTGCATTTGAATGGTCAATTCCCATTAAATTAATCGGCTTGTAGTCACGAGATTATAGGCTCATACCTCTTTAGAGTTTGGGTTCTAGAATACTACCTAGCCTCATATAAATGTTGTTAATAGTTTAGTATTAGAACCTGCACAGGTATATCGTTATTTACCAAACTATTTTCGTTTTAGGCAATGCCTACTCGACATTGGAAAAATTCAGCCGGAGATGAGGTAGAATTTGAGGTGGAAGATATACTAGATATGCGTACAATCAATGGAGAACCAGAGTACTTAATCAAATGGAAAGGACATTCTCCGTAAGTGGTAATGTTATTTCAAAATGACCATCCAGTTCAAAAAATACTTGGGAACCACAGTCCAACTTAAATTGTCCAGTATTGCTCAGGCGTTTCCTCGATAAACACGCAGCCATTGAGCCAACAGTAGCTACTATTGTAAGAAGTGATACTTTTGACGACATATTTGCAGCCTGAAGGCTCTGAACCGTACGGGTTTGATCGTGGGCTAGCACCTGACTTTATCAATATGGTTACGAAAAAGGACAATGAACTGTATTTCCTAATCAAATGGTAAAGAATTGCTTGCATAACTCATCAGTAAATATTAGGAAAGGAAGCCAAGTCCGTGATGTAGTACCTGCTGCTCAAGCAAACATTCGGTGTCCACAAATTGTTATCAAATTCTACGAAAGCATTTTGCATTTTACTTGAAATATCTGACCTAATCAACTCTGTTTTTATCAAAGATTTAGTGAACGTTGATTTCTATTGTGTTATATTTTTGAAAAATAATCAGATAAATTGTTGTATACAATTAAACTTAGGATTTTCTGTACAAAAATTAGAAATATATAAAAGATAAAATAGTCTGGTAGATATTGAGAGCATATACTTTCGAAGAGAAGCTTGTAAGGTTTTCTTTATCTCTATGCTTGATTGAAGTGGGCAATGAGATCATCTTTTTCTTGTGTCGTCATTTCGTGAACAAATACAGCATTTTCCTTTGCAAGCTGTCTTATCTGTAACAAAGTGAGGAAAAGCGGTTATGAAATTTTTTAGCTCAAATTACAAATACAATCGTAAATATCATTGATCATCCGTAGAGTAATCAAATTCAAATACATATGAAACGGAAGATGTTACTCAGAATTGGTATTCGTGATCCATTATCTGAATGTCATATGTCATAGACTTATATTAAAACTTCAGTGAATACCATTCGATTAACGAACGTGAACAAAGAATTGTTTTCTATGGATATAGTGTTAAGCATATATTTCGACTCTTATCTGAGGCTCCATTGTTTAAGGAGTATGGAGACTCCAATCTTAGTAACCTATTTCGCACTCTAATAATCCAGTTTGTTATGTTTATGTTTGTAAAGAAGCTTGAGAAAATGCAAGTCTTGCTATCCGCTGTAAGTTTCATTTGGGTCCTAATGTGGTATAACATAATCGTATATAATCAATAAATACTTATCGTCCGGTGAACTTTTAGTGTGTTAATAACGAATGAATATAGCCCTTGCCGTTTGATAAAAGTTTAAAAAGAATTGTCCAGGTACACATTGATCCAATAGAAAGAAGTTTAAACTACCAAACCCATCTTAGTTAAGACAAATTATAAAAGCAACAAAAGAACATTAACTAAGTGGAAGTAATACTGTTATACAAGGGTTAGAGTGGTGGTGGTTCAGTAGTTAAGGGGTTCGACCGAACAACTAAGCCACAGGTCCGAAACCCCCTTCACCTACTCTAGTTTTGGAGTCGAGTAGCACCACTAGCCTTCATATTCAGAATACCTCTCGAAGCCAGATATCAGGCTAATCCGTTGACACAAACATAAAAGCATTGAAAATAAGTAAGACATATCAGTAAGACTTAACATACTTCATTAATTTCAGCAATTTCCACCAGCGGTGCATCTATGATTGACGCAGGATTTCCAAATGTTCTTGGCAAAAACACTGGCAACGGTGGCGGGCCTAAAGGCTGTCGAGCTATGCTTTCTCTAAAATTATACAAAATGGTTGATATTACGACCTTGAACCGAGCGAAGAATATTTCCTTCACGAAGATGTCAATTAACTAAGCTGTCAAGAAGTATAAATAATTATACGGCATACGCAGTAGCGTACTGTGGGACGAGTAAGTTTTGCATCATGAAGTATTTAAAAATCTACATGTCAGAAACAAGCATAGGAAACCAAATGTTTTTAGAAAAACGTGTAAAGATGGACGTATGAGAGTTAATTTGCTTACAACAGAAGACATTCTAATAAATGAAAAATTAGAAGGGGACTAGAATTATTATAGAATAGGATGAACATATCACTTCTAGATACACGTTCCAAAATTTCTTTGGTGAGTTGCTAAGGCTTCAATGGTAGGCAAGTTTCATATCTTCATTTCGAGTTACCGAATACCCTTATTTCGTCGACTTAATTTGGTAGTGAAAATTGACTTTACATAACTAATGAAATAAGAGTATTCGTACCCAGATCAAAGTCACACTTTACGAGTTTAAACTGAAGTTTAGATTCAGTCGAATAGTTGAAAGTCAAGTGTCTCAACTATTATTTCGCAACTTCTAAAATTGGAAATTTGATTTGAGTGTTTTTTAAATATAGTACATATTTCCTGTATGTTATAAAAATAGATAACGCGCAAAGATATGCAAATGATCGCTAACCAGTAACGGTATTAAGCCATTGGACTTGGTGCAATCCACGTTTTAGTGATAACATTCATGCTGTACATATCACTCATTTATGCCTGGACGCCAAACAATTGATAAAGTAACGAGAAATTGTTAGAAACTTACGCGTAGTATCTTGACCGTTCAATATGTTCTTGTGAATCTAGGGGATTGTAATCTGTTGCTCCAGCATCCACCACTTGACTAGTTAAAAAGGTCAGGTGAAATAAAATTATTAAACTAATACACTATTTTGGAGCAAAAAAACATTGTTTCTATCGAAAAGCATCCAATCTTGAAACAATATGGCACATGGTTAAACTTAATCAGATGGCAGGTAGTGTCGGTTGATCGAAAGACTTATGAAGTAATACAATTCTGAGCTATAAGTGTTTAAAAATAATTGAACCTTGTTTAGAGAATACACTTATAAGACCATGTGTGAAATTTACCACGTCACTGCCCAAATGACTTGGAAAATCAGTGAGATAATGCACATGGTCATATATATTTACAGGATCTGTATGGCAGCTGTAAATCATGTTAACTACTCACAATATTATATGACAATTCATGGTTATTCTGCAACACCATTTTGTCTTGTTAATGATTTATACAATAGATTTTCTGATTATCTCTCAGTTTTTTGCATGTTAAAATGTGGGACTCAAGAGTCGTCATTAGTGTGTTCGTACAAGTGAATGCCTTGAACATATTCAAAATTACTGTTTAAAAGTATGTAGGCCACTAAAAACATTATGTAAAAAAAGGATCCCGAAGTTTCGTGAGTTCGAACTCTCATAGATCAGCAGCTAAGAATCATATCATTTAGACTAAACATCATCGTCATGCTTCTTAATGATACGAAAGGGGAATGTTACGACGGTTTGTATTCCTTTTCCCTCCCAGCTTATTAGAACCAAGACCTTATATAATGAAATTCGAAAAAAAACGATTTAATTACTGCAATATACGATAATACGTTTTTATTACCGAGTAGCTCAAAGGGGTTCAGGAACTGCTAAACAGCAAACCAAATATTTGCTAAAAATGTAATTAGTTTTTATAGACTTCTATTACTATTATCACATTCACGGACGAATTAATTTGTAATTTGGATGACTCACTTCTCAGCAACTTTTATTATATTTGTCATCATGGTATTGATATCTGACTGAGGTTCATTTGTAACAGGATCTGGAGGTGAAAAACTGTAATTTAGAAAGTAGACAATCAAATTAAAAAGACTTTTATCAATATAAGATCGAAGATCAACTCATAATAATTATCAGTAATGACCTTAAGAGTGATCTTTGTAGGAAGTTAAGTCGAAGTTCATAAAATATTTTCGGAGTTGAAAACAAAAGAAGAATCAGTACAATGAATGGGCTGGTTTAATACCAGTAAACTGAAGCTCACGGTGATATTGGAACAGGGTGATTTATGATTAACGTGTCATACCTGTTGCACATGTGGTGACTCAGTAGAAAAGTTTCAGAATTTAAATTGATAAGTACTAGGATAGTCTTAGTAAGTATGCACACTGAGGTGTATGTAAATAGGGTCGAGATCCTACTGGGACTAAGCGTGAGCCCTAACTCCATGGCGAACAACGTATAAATACACGAATTATTGGGGCATTTATGTTCAGCTAGTCTATATTATCAATCCAATCCTGAATACTAATCAGGGGAAAAATCAAACTCTTACAATTGATAATGGGTAGCATTTGTAACGGATCAGTACGAAACCGAAAAATCACCCAAACTCAAAGTTAACGACCAGAAGGTTGACAACTATATGATGTGTCTTTTGCTTGATATGTTTTTTACACGGAGACACTAAGAAATGAGTTACACTGCTGATCTGTTTCTTCACAATTCTTGTCCTTTTTTCTTGCCATAAATGCTATATGGTCCTAATAGTACTGAAACTGTGACAGGTGGTTCGTTTCAAGGATAATCAGTCAAAAATTCAGATAACCATTTGACTTATTGTATATACATGACGAAAAAGATCTCTTTAATAAGAACTATGAAATCATTTACATGGAGGGAAGACTCTCCACATCACTAGTTATATCAGGAAGACAAGAATTTTATTTTAATAAATAATAAAATTATGAAATGCGTAATATTGCACTTATCAAAATTTGAATATTAGGGTTATTATTGAACGACATATCACACAAAGTAATATCAAGCCATAAAAATACAGAAAGAAATATAAACATTACGTCACTACTGATCAGACAGTGAAAACAGTTAAGACTATATTCAAGAAACCCTCTGTTGTTCTCCAGATCTTTTGTGCTCAAGGAAAACCCACAACTATTGACTTCTTTGATCAAGCTCATCAAGCTTTTCAGATCTTTGAATCTCATTTAGTAGTTGATACCAAAATATGTACTAATCTTTACAGGAAACTATTTTATGGCAAATAGTAGTTAGTAAGTAGATTTTGATTAATACAGCATACAAGGGTCACCAACACTTATCTAAAGGTAAATAAATGTTTGGAGTCGGTCTTATTGTTATTAGGTAAATACGAATGGTCTTAGTCAGTGGCACAAGATTCTAGCCTGTTGTTCGACTCGACATAAGTTCCGAACACTGAAAGTTCCAAGGTATAGTTTGGTTTTAGAAGACCAGGAATAACACTTTTTGAACGCAAATAGTTAGGACTGGTGGGACATAGAGGTAAGAATAAAGCTATGGGAGAAGAGCTGATAATAGAGACAGCATAAATAATAAGAGACTAAAGAACTTGGTTGTGGAAAAGGTTGTCTTGAGTGGTGTCAGAGAAGTGTGGGTTGTTTTAACTCCTCGATTGTTTACATTGTGGAAAGAAACCTATTTTCGGAGTATCTCAAAAAGAAAATGGACTAGTAGTGATCGTGGAAACCTAGGAGTATATTACAGAGCTAAAGGCGCAACTGTTCGAGGCGAGTCACACACAGGCCTTTTGAGAGACGTTCCTGATATGTTAGTTCCGTACGCTAAATACTTTACTGCCAGAGAAATCCATAGAGTATGGTGAGGTATACTACTTTTAGGATCAGCCTTTTCTAACCCATTCCTTTCGTTGTGAAAAGGCAGAATCGCTGCAGATGCTGGTTACCTGAGAAAAACACCTCGGTACAAACGGAAGGTAGGGTTTACCATGAGACAATAAATCGCTACTTTTAGTTTTGCTGTTATCCAGTCGACCTTTCTAGTGTGGTTGGACATACAGGAACGAGTGTCCGAGCCAATAAACTCGACTGGGTTAGCATGCTGTGTAACCTCTACTACTTCACTAAGACAGCAGGTACGGTTGGGTACGAATGATCTGAAGAAAAATAATGGTTAGTAAGGAGATAGTATAATTACACCACATACACAACTCAATAGATGAGCATAGCAAATGAGTCAAAAATTTGTATACCTTCCATATGGTTGCTGTGTCCCATCGTATGAAAGCTGGGGGCTTGGAATTAATCTCTGACGTTCAGCTTCCTCATCCTAAATTTGCATCAGTAAAATTAACCGAATAAATACAGTAGTATGAATATAATAAACAATAACATATAAGGTGAAAATGATATGTTAACTGGTGTTTAAAAGTTGCTACAGAACCTTTTTACTTAACAATACACAATTAACCGCATAAACTCGAAAACACCTTTGAATTCTAGTTTGAGTAAGTACTAATATATCAGTCTTTTCTACCTAAATAACAAATCGTCTCAGATGTACTACAACTGCCTGTTTAGGTTTTCGGACCCAGAATCTAGAGCAAGTACGAAGTAATGACAGAATGACTGAAACTGTAGCCTTAGATCAACAACGTATACTGTGATTTAAAAAAATATAAAAACGCAGACGTAATTATTTACTTGGTCTTATTTATATCAAGTGATTATTAAGCAATCGGTGACTAATTGAGACAGGTAGCAATTAGCTGGAGTATAGGAATGTGCAATGGTTCATTCGTTGCACTATTGGTTAGAAAATAATCTTATGCTGATCGGCGTATAAGATAAGATCTAAGCTCAGCAAAGGAAAATACAGTACGTATTGATGAAGCCGATGAGTAAACGTCTGGGTGGTTTGCATAACTGAAGATTCCTCCCTTACAGTTTGTACACCTTAGGTATCGTTAATATAAGTATGGACCCATTTAACCTTGGTTAGTGTAGTGAACACCATTTTAACATCTATCTATTAACTATCCAACAATTCATAAACCTTTTCTTTTTGAACGTCCTCTTGATTTTAGTGATACTTTTCCTGTGATATTCTAAACTAAGGATGGATTTAGAGAGTAAAATGTGTTCATTCTCTCATAACTGGACCATAGATTCTTTTTTGTTATTTTGATTTAACTGATATAGTGTACTGTTCTATATTTACATATCACAACAAAAGTAAATCCTAAAACAATCTGAGGCTCATACTATCCTTACAACAAGGCTTATGAACCCTTAAATAAGTGAATATATTTTTCGACGGAACGTGAAGACCAATAACACATGCATTATGCTTCACACCAAAGATGAGTTTGATAACCTAATGAATGCAGTTAAACAGTTATTGAACCGTACCGTGTTTGAGAAGATTGCTTGTACCGTACGTGGTAAGACTCGAACGATTTTTCACGACAGAACTTAGTTATTCATTAATGAGCCAGCAGTAAAATGACCTTTAGGTTATTACGAGTGGAAAATTGTCTGATATCTGAAGTGTTGAACCTATTAGGCGTAGAGTAACTTTAATTGTGTGTTAACAGATAATACTGTCTAGAAGTTCTAATATTCTTCTCTATACTGAGTGTCATTTAGCAACGTAACAATAACTTAATGTGTCGACTACCTGTAATGTCTTTTAATATCAGTGCCTTTAAGAGCTTTAGTTCAATAATAGGGTTGTCATTAGTAATCAGTTACTTTACTCGGATCCAGGTAATCTATCACACAGCACAACAGACATTATTTATTTATTTATTTGAACACATAAATATTGGTACAAGAGAGCGCCAATATATATGCGCCACACAAAACAATGGGAATTCGAAGAGAAGTAGAAAGAAAAAAAAAGAAGAAAAAAAAACTAAGGAACGCAAAAGAAAGAGAGAGTAATGACGAAGAGGTACAATCAGAAGAAATCTTTCAGTTAAGGAAGATACAACCACTTTTTATGAAGAAAGTAAAAGAAGGTTACAGCAGGATCGCCACTGGCTTCTATTCTGAGCCATATCTGATAACGTCTCTAGCCACTGTGTAGCACCATCTCTCGGACCCCAGCCAGGGAGTCGTGAAGGACCAACACAAGCCAGTCCTTTGCAGCTTTCTTTCATGCCACGACACCATGTCATGCACTGACCACCTCTCCGCTTCTTCCAACCAGTCCCAGAGTCGGCAAATAATGCACGACGTGGAATTCTCTGGGACGACATTCGGAGAACATGTCCAAGCCACCGAAGTCGGTGTTTCAAGATGGTCACACCAATTGAGTTATCATCTCTGTGCCTGAACACACGATGCCGAACCTCTGCATTACTGACTTGGTGTTGCCACTGAATGTCAGCAATCCTTCGGAGACAGCGATGATCGAACACAGAGAGTCGTCTAACGTCCTCAACTCGGAGAGGCCAGGTTTCACAAGCATAGAGCAAAACTGCTCTCACCGACGCGTTGTAGATCCGACCTTTTACAACCAGACTAACATCACGAAGGCGCCAAAGGTGGCCCAGATTGGCATAAGCCGCTCTGGCTTTCACTATTCGTGCATTGATCTCATCACTCACACCCCCACCAGCACTTATGCAGCTACCCAGATACACGAACTTCTCGACTACGTCTATCTGCTCACCATCCAGGGTGAGTACAGGATTGGAATCCTGCCAGTCTTGTAGAAGTACTTTGCACTTCGAAGGTGCAAAGCACATACCATACCTACGGACATTGATTGCCAACTGGTTAAGTGCGGATTGCATGCCTTGGGCATTATCGCACAGTAAGACAATATCGTCCGCATACTCAAGGTCGAGAAGTCTTTCTCCAGGCAACAGATCCACATCACCATTACTTACATTCATCAGAGCTGTTTCTAGAATGTCAACGATGGCAAAGTTGAAGAGGAATGGTGAGATTGGGCAACCCTGTCTAACCCCACTACTCGAATGGAACAATGGAGAAAGGTGGTTGTATGCCCTCACTCTGCCTGAGGTGTTTTTATACAGGGCTTTTAGGATGTTAATAAACTTCTCAGGCACACCCTTCTTCAATAGACAATCCCAGAGAACAGTCCTATCCAACGAATCGAAGGCAGCCCTGATGTCAAGAAACACTACGATTGTTGGCCTTTGAAAAGTATGGCGGTGTTCTAACATTTGGCGGAGGGTGAAGATATGATCAATACATCCTCGACCAGAACGAAACCCAGCCTGCTCCTCGCGAGTCAATCTTTCTCGGGTTTTGAACAACCTACGAAGAATGACGGAAGCCAATAGCTTGGACGCAATCGGAAGTAAACTTATCCCCCGATAGTTGTTACAAGAACGACGTGAACCCTTTTTAAAGATAGGGACAACTATCGACTCATTCCATGACGTTGGTACAACAGACATAATATCTCTCCTGAATAATACAAGGTTAAAGAAGTGGTCTGACCATTCAGTATATCAATGTAAAGTTGCAAATAAGCGCATCGATTCAAAAAGCCACACTTTGTCACAGCACAAGAAGAGAAAATCAATAGAAATGAACTGCGATTCACGTGAACCAAAAGCATATAATAAATCACACGACCTTCCCCTATCCACTAGCAAAATAGACATGTATCAATCAAATCCATTTTAAGCACTATGTTGCTATTGTAGTGTTTATAAGACAATATTTTTCACCCGTTTTTAAAACAGTATTACGTCATTCAGGCATTTCAGGAGCTAGACAAAAATGTGTTACAACCAAAAGTAGATTCATAGCACTTGAAAACATAAGAAGTACAGATTATGAACCTAATAGATTATTTTGCATGATGGCTGACCAAAATATTTATCATCTTATCCTCGGTCTCTAGAAAACTGTTATGACGCACCGCATCTAAGAGCCCACACTGATACGTACTCTCCCTACACACAAGCTCGGCTACTTGAGAGAAAGAAGGTTAATTGCTTAACCGAATCGACTGCATCTGCACTCATTAATATGTATCTGTCTCGAAGGAAATTGAGCCTGGTGGCATATGTTTCATCCCTTGGAAAAATATCGATTCTTATCCAATCACATGGACTTGTCGTTTGGCGATTTCCGATTGAGTCACTGTATTAGATTTACTAAGCGGGACGGTAAACGACCAAAACTAGTTAGGAAATGTTATATTCGTCGAACATTTCATTCAAGATAAATAAAGCGGGTAGCCCGCATAAATACTACTCCATTTAGCTTAAGTGAGAATCGACCAGTCCTAAAGCATTATTGCACATTTAAGAGAAAAGTACTTGATATATTCACAAACTACTGCCTGTAGTAGGATCTAACAAGATAAGTAACATAAACAGGAATATCGACTACATGTGATTATTTTAACTGATGAAAAGCGAAAGCTAGATGGGTAAAAGTTGATATGATAAGCATCAATAGTTTAAAGCTCCGTCTTTCAGTTAATCACAGAAATAATACCCTGGAACGGTCTGTAACCATATGAACTGAGGTATTCCGACTGAGTCATAAAAACGACAGTGATATTTCATGGGGTGTAAAAATAGATTATAGGGGAATGTAAAGTAAAATGATAGGAAAACCAGATACGTTACCGTTCAGTCTTCTAGAAGACCAGAGTGGTGAAGACGAAATCGAAATTAGTCCCATAGATTTCGGGAAAATCAGAAATTTGAAACTACTGTACGTAGTAAATAAGTTAAAAGTACATGCTGATGATCTTTAGGGAAGATCTCTATCCATTTGCGCACTTTGCATAGGATAAGTCTGGTGGACTGGTAAATGTTTATGACGTATTTAGATATTGGCTTCTATCACTAGTTTTTGAAGGGAACTATAAGAAGTTTATATCAAGTTAGTGAAGCTAACTTTCCCACTTCCTTAACACTGAAAATAATTAAACTATCGAAACCAAGCTCAACAGTATGATCAATGGTGCTGCAATGAATAGAAACGAATAACAATTAGTTGTTTTTAATATTTATACTCATTTATGGCCACTAATTTTTTTGACTGACAACTAATACACCCATATTTACTTCGTCGAATAGCTTAAGAGTTCCAGTTTTCTGACATATTTTCGTTTGAATGGTGATTCACTTTTCTAAAATCTAATTAGTTAGGGTGTGAGGATTGGTTCTGAGTAGAATTATTCAGCCCGACACCCTAAGCTATTAGACCATCATATATGGATCAATCAAGATAGCTCTGTTCTCCTATTCAATATTGCAACCAACATTTGTCTGGAGTGTAGATTATTTGATTTGCAGAGAAATTTAGATCCCTATTTATCACTGATTGGTAGAAAACTACGGAGTCACTTATTTTACGGTACTTAAAAACTAATTACTTCAAGAATATCCTGTGGATACTTATGTGTAGGAACTACGGATTTATCAATATTGATTAATTTACCAATCGCATTGTTTACTACTTAGATGAAACAGAGTTTATTATGAAGATTATTAACGTAATCTGTGGTTATCTTTAGAAAAGAAAACACAGCTTTTGGTGTACATGTTTAGTTGTAGTTGTGTGAAGTTATTAAATGCCGACAACTAAGTTGTTTTCTCGCTCCTCTCACAAATCGTATCAGCACTTTTCATGGGAACTTTCCTAGAACTTGAACACGAAGATTCTAGATATCTATGGGGTTTTGATACAGCGTTGGCAGATTTCGCTCAACAGACCAACGAAATCGATCTAACAGTGAACACTAGTAACGGGTTCAAAGTACAGTTAGAATTAAGATGACACAATCAAATAATACTATCATGGCTATTAATGCATAATATATAGTAGTCAGTTTTGTACGCTAAGTTTAAGTAGTACGGAGATTATCAAGAGATTAGCACTGGGTCCTTAAACTATAAGGATAAAGGTACATTTGACGCGGGAAGCTCATAAAAATGGTTAATTACGGGTTTTATAGTCACTGCACTCGTCTTCAATTAAAAAATCAATTGTTAGCTAAGTTATCGCTCCATGAATGAATTTCTTGTTTGCGAGCATATACACTGTTCAAGTGAACTGAAGTGAAACATGGTATTTTTCGGAAATTACAACAAATTTTAGAAACGCAGCATACTGTAACAATTATGCTATTAATACAATTTATTAGGTGCGCGAATATAAACTATACATAATACTTTGTATACCAAAAGTGTGGATGGATGACGATATATTCAAGTTTGAAAACAGCTATACACACACTTTGGTAGTGTCAAGCGGGTTAACAGAAAGACAGTTAGTAGACATCGGAATTGCAGTTGTCAAATGACACAGTAGTACCAACGAACGCAAAGAACCTGCTAGTGGGCTTAGCATTCAGTCAAAGGGCTTGGAATGATTGAAAGTACTGACACTGGTGTATCAGTTAACTTTATCAGGAAGTTATATTTAATCTACAGAGTCTGCTTTCGTGTCCATCAGCCACTAACAATTAATTATTGAGGATATTACTTCCAATTACGAAAACATTGAATCACTAACTTTAAACTGTATCTTTCCGGTTTATGTACCATCATTGATGTCAACATTGGACGACTAGTTCTAACGCGGTTACAACAGAACAGTATTCACTTTAAAATCACCAGATAAACAGGATGATCTATGGAGAAAGTAAGCATTACGTACTTGCAAGTAAGAAACAAATCGCAACCTTCAAGTGTTGTTCATCTTGTAATTTAAGCGGCCTTACGCTGTTGATCCTATAATAAATCTAAGAACGGGAAACATACACAAGTGAGGAATCTAGTAGAGTAAGATAATCTGGTTCTGAATAACCGTGAACATCTTGGAAACACGGGGATCAAAACAAAGCCGTAGTAGCCTTATATCCATAGAAAGATAGGTATGAGGACTAACTGAGAATGTTTGTGTGAATCGCAAAGCATTTAAAAGTTACCAACAACTGCTGATAAATGATTCAAACTTACTTTGGTTACTTATAGTGTTTCACTGGATTATTTGTATAATAATGTTGAGTCCCGAGATTATATCGTAAAATAACATTTCACACTAAGTACTACAACTCAATAATTCTGCCCTGAGCAATAAAACATACAAACTTAATAGCATTTGACTAGGCTAGACAGATGACTCGAAATAAACAAAAAGGTTTTTTCAAATTGTTTTAAAATCGTTCAGTACTCACTTCGTCATTTCCTGAATTTGCACAAAGACCACAGCACCAACTCACCATGCGTCTAAAACACTGCATTACTATAGAAAACGTCACAAAAGTAATAAAAAAGAATAACGTGTCGTAATTATTTTATTTTATTATCTGAACAGGTACAACCATAACTGATAAGTCAAAAAGTAATCACCAGGTTCACTCAGTGGCCATACCTGAAATGAAACATAGTACAGAAAAAGCTATTACTTACTTCTGCAGTTCCCATTCACGATTGTCTAGAGGGCAAACTTGTCGTGTTTTCAACCATCGAGATATACAGTGAAAATGAAAGGCATGCTTTGTGAAAAATTAAATTTTACAAAATTCAACTCACATTACAAACACCCCAAGCAACAGTGCACTCTTCACTTGTAGCAGAGGCGTGGTTAGCTTGACATTCAATACCTATTACGTATATTATGAGGAGAGAATAACCCAAGCAAACATAAGTCCATTATGTGATTTCGGCAGATAGCACAATTATCAACGACGATATCCCAAGCCCATAAAGCAACCGCATACCACTTTTTTATTTCGAAACGTTTCTTATTTTCACTGAGGGACGCCACTGGCCCTGTATCATCAACTTCCATTTCTGACATCGCGCGCTGAAAATCTTTCAAGATTGCCGGTTTTACCAGTAATATTTAACAAACCAACACCCAATCGACAGAAGATCTGTGATGCATATCTTTCTATTTTTGGTAAGTTTATGTGAATGTCTAGTCTTCTCTTCTACCAGTCATTTGAGAGTGCGGACACTATTTCTTCTGGTTACAGGCGCCAAGAGTTGATAAGAGTTGATGGAGACTAGTACACCACTGATGTTTTGTCCTAGAACTCTGGAATTGAAGACGCAGCTTCCGTCCTTAATTTTTTCCAAGGTATATGATTCTTTTTACAAGCAGCGGCTTGCAGCTCAAACAGTTTTCAATTTTGGATTTCACTGTGTGTATTGTTGTGGAAATACTAGAATCCAACTTGATAAACGTCTGTTTTAAGGCTTATAGAGTTATGAACACCTTAGCATCAACCGCACAGAGTTGGGTCATGGTCTTAAGACCGTGGCTCACAGACTCCTCTTAATCCTTTACTTATTCGCTTTTGTATCCCCAGTAGGCATACGGTAACACTTTTTGGGGTTGACAGGTATCAACCATTTTTTGAACGAGTCAATTAGAACATCTAAGCGAGTATACGCATCTGCGTCTCCCGTTACTTTTTTACCAAATTTTTACATAATCAGAGTATAGTAGCGTCGGGGAATCGAGTATACTCAGTAGTTCATTTACATCTAGAATGAGAAGCAAGGCTCTAGAGCCTTGGATTATCACACCGAGCACTGGTTTCCATAGGGAGGATCTACAATTTACTCTTACTTTCAGTCTGCAACCTACAGACAAATCTTTTATCCATTAAAGGAGAAGTCCGATAATCTCCATATTTACCAGCCCCAACAGAAGTTTGCCATTCGACGCCATATCGAATGCTTTGCTGAAGTCCACCTAAACGGCAAGCACTTAGTTGCCATAATCTAGCAGCCCTGTAGATTTCTCTTGCTGTAAACAGATTTGCTGTACGAATCTAAACCTTCGTAAAGTCATGTTGTTCCCCAGACAACCCAAAAACGGAAATAAAGGCGAACAAAGGGGAAATAAAGGGGTAAATGCTTTGGTAGCGAAAGGGGAAATAAAGGGGAAAACGTTCCAGAATGTCGCCTTTTTCGCCTATCCAGCGGAAATAATGCGGGTTTCCCCTTTTACCCGCTTTGTCGATAAATAACCGACTTTTCGCCTAAAAATCCGCGGAATTGCCTACTTTTCGCCTAACTACACACAGAAGTGTTTATTTCTGATCCATTGGCATAACCCCAAAGGTCTCCTATGCTCATCTTTTGTTTCAACAACAGACCAAAAATAAAGTCGATTGCACTGGAAAAACGGTATACTTTTAAAAATTTTATTTAAAAAGAAAAGCTTATTATTGTACAACATTATAGCTGAAGCTTCAGCATAGATTGTTTTTCATTTCCATTGTAACTGCTAATTTATTGTTATTTGACAATATCTGTAAAAGAAAGAACAGGTGATGTATTATTTATAAGGAATAAGCATTTAATCACTAGTTCACTAACAATCACACTTTCTCAACACTTCAATAGCTTCCCATGCTAGTAAAAAGGTAAGCTGTGCCACTGAAAATGTTTATTAAAAATCCGGTATAACAAAAAGAAATTGAAAGGATGTTTGCCTTCAGCCACGTATGTTCGGCTATTGAAAATGAAAGCAGTGTTCGTGTGGATTCTGAAATGTTCAGAAAAACAAGTCACAAGGACTGTAACGGAAAAAGAACAGTGAAAATCCCTCTGCAGCTTCTTTGTTGAACAGTATTTTCATTTATTTGTTCCTTCTCCCTTTTGTGTATTCTAACCTTTGTTTCGATCTCGTTTAACTATATCTTTTGTTCTTCAGTCTTCCTCGTTTGAGCCTTTATTATGTGATTTTGATTAAAGACTTATTTTTGGTTACCTAATTTTCTATTGCATGTTGCCGGACCATTGACAGTAAGGTTGTGTTTGACTAAACTCAAGGTCACGGCGTGGTTCAGTTTGTGACTTAACCTTCTGACTGTCTGCTTGGGAGAATTGCTGCAATCCCTGCAGATAGATATTTGATCCCATCTGATTGGGAATATTTGTATTGATTCTCGGGTATCAAACCCTTTAGTATTAACTGTCTCTTTCATTGTTTAGCGCGCTACTTTGCGTTAGAGAAACTTCTGACTGTATAGCACAGGCTGTACCGTTTGAGGTATTTTGTATTTTTGATGTAATTTATTCTGTTTTCTTAATTAGAACCGTTTATATTGAGCACAGAGTTTGTGTTTTGATATAATATAATACGAGTATCTCAAAGACGCGTTGTGGGCTATACAGAGGAACTTGGTCTGGTCTAATCGAATAAATTTTGGGTTCGTCAGTCCGTTGTTCCAACCGAATATTGGCTGTTCGGTCGTTACAGTTCTCAAACGAACAGTAATCTCAAGTGACAAATTCCGGAATGCCTGGAAAGCTGAATAAGGTCAACGAAAACTTGGCATTGGGCCACGGAGAAATGCAATTGGATACACCTCCAGAGGTACGGCAAGTCAAATTAGATCCATTTTCATGTCATGGCTCTAATGTTAGTTTATTAAGTAGACGTAGTAAAGTTAGCCCTAGAATTACCTTAGCAGAGTTAAAAGAAAGGCAATTATTAGAAATGAGGGACTTGAAAGATAGACAGAGGAAACAACTACTGTGCTTTCAGAGAGAGTTTGGGTCGTTAAGGCTGAACGAAAGCACGTGTAGCAAGTTATCTTCTGTTTCTAACAGTGATGACGGAGAAAAGGAGTACGTTCACAGGTTCGTAAGTCCTTCCCATGACCTTAGGATAAAGTCTCTAGAAAAGTCGAAACTGTTAGATTATCCAGGAACGAAGGAGAAAGTGACTTTGGAATCTCTAAGTGTAGGTCATGAACTTCCAACAGTAGAGCGCGATGCCTACTTCGATGAAAGTTACAATATTGTTCCTTTACCGAGAGGAGTGGCTGAGGAAGACATCGCTACCCCTGTTATTTGCAATGAGTCTGGTATGTGTAAAGCTGGCTTCACCAAAAATGATGCTCGCAGAGCCGTATTACTCCCTATTGTTGGAAGAACTAGACATCAAGTAGTGACTGTGGGAATGGATGGAAAGGACAGTCATGTGGGAGACGATGCTCGATCGAAACGTGTTATCCTGACACTGAAGTACCGAATTGAACATGGTATTGCGACTAAGTGGGG